GGGAAGTTTCAATGTTTATATAACATTTACGCCTCCCACGCTGTCGTCAGCTGCGCATTGCAGAGGGCCCACAAAGTGTTATAAGTGGAATTGATCAACCATTTCAGCTGACCATTTCAGCTGAGTTATAGTGTCATTGGAGATTATAACGAGGCCATTGGCAACCAATCATTTCAATTCTCAATGCAGAGACCTGCTGCGGCTGAGGATTTGTACAGTTGTCAAATGCCATAATATTGCAGGAGAAGAGTGTCAAGTGGCTGCCTGAGTGATGAGGGGTATTGCAGGTTGGCGTTTTTGGATGAGGTTGAGTACCAGATGGCATTGAACTGCTTTTGAGCAAATTGCTGTTGGAGCATGGTTGTTAGGGGCCAGGCCTGGGATGTTAATGACTAGCTTTGGCACAAAAGATTTCGTTGGGGAAAAGAGGAACAAATGCCCGATCAGGCCAGGACACAGGTCTCCGATCGGGCGGCTCTATATACATGCGCGCGCAGTGCGGGTAAATAGTTCCTTCGATAACCTCTCCGGGCTTCTGCTTTCTTGATCCACACTTATTCATGTACATAATTCTGACCTGTTGTGCAAAAACGGTAATAAATTAGTTGTTTGAAAGCCTCAGGCTCCAATATGCCCCGCTCCTGATTGGCCCGCACTAGCGAGCCCATACACAACTGCCGGATAGATATTACCGGGCATGGACAGACCAGTTGGCATTGAATCTCTTGGTCTACACTGTATATACAGCATCACACGCTCAAAATAACTTAGTACTGTTAATCATCGTGCAAAAGATGCTTGCTGTCAATGTATGTGTACGTGCATAAACTTGATACAATCTGCAAACAGACGAGGATATAATCCAACTCGACCTATGCTAGGACTAGTCTTGAGTAATCTATGATTTACCATCCATTTTTAAAGTGTAAATATGAGAGGAAACAATGATTTCAAGTCAGCTATCTAACTCAACATAAATGTGACTAGAGATGTATACTAGTTAAATGCTTTTCTTAGTCACAATTTGAAGCATCGAACGATTTTTTTTTTTCCCGGCTACTATGGGATATTGTAGAATCTGGGTGTTTATGGCTACCATTAGTCTGCTCCGCCTGTTCTCTGATAACTACTTACCAAAAGAAGATTGGCTTGATGAAGTCCTAGCATGCTCTGATTAACAGCTCTGCCGCGTCCTTGAAAGCCTTTGAAATCTGGGCAGTAATAAGTTCTCGGTAGAGTTGGGATCCACGGTACCTTAAAGGGACACTAATGCCGCCTGGTGACAAGCGGAGCACAATGACCCACTGCAACATTAATGAGTTTTAATTTGTGGGAACCTACCAAAGTTGGTGAGATTCTTGTAGTACCCCGTTTGTTCCGGCAAAAGAATAAGGCCAGTAAAAGACTATAATAAGGGCGGGTACGCAGGAGAGAGTTAAAGAAAACGAAAAACCTTTTTGGTGCAGAAACTGAGACAAGACTTCCGTTACTCTCCTATCTTTGTCCTGCTCGCTACAATCCTCAATATTCATCATGTCGCACCTTTGGACACCTGCTCCTGAACCCACCACCTCAAGGACAACATCCAGGCGCTTAATCTACAGTTGACGGTGGAGCAAATTGAATACCTTGAGAGCCAAATCCCTTTGATGTTGGCTTCCCAGGCAACTTTATCGGCCCGGATCCCAAAGTGACTGGCAAAGCGTCCTTCCTTTTGGCTGCTAACGCCTCTTATTCATTTGTGCAATCACCCAGATCTATTACAAGTCCGGAATAGATTGGAATAGATATTAGACCCGTGAGCTGTTAGTAAGGCGTCTAGCTGGCAAGGAAAAGGGAGAGGGGGAGAAGAAGGGGTACCAATAAATTATATGTGTATATATGTATGCTCTAACTGCAGCATTTTATTATGTTTGGTAGTGATAATAAACCTGTGGAGATTGTAATAATGGCCTAAAAGAAATATATAAAAAAATATTTTATGCTAGTTTGGGGTTGGGTTGGGTTTTGGCGATGTCTACTCTGACTGGAGTCAGTTCGTGAACCAGGGCGGCCACTATCCAGGAACTTGGTCAGTCAAATGTTAGCTGAAGTAATTGTAAGAGATGTACTCACTCCATATTGCCAAAAATCCTGGAACCCTCAAGATCCACGAGGTGTGGATGTGGAAGATAGAAAATGAAAAACATGGTGAAATGCAAAAAAAAGCAGGGGGATGGGGATCCTTTCTATATATTTTCTGAACCAGGATTTTTTTTTTTTTTTTTTTTTTTCATCTCGATGAATGCTTACCCATAGATTACTACTTGGTATAATTGTTCTTTTCACTAGCGAGACTGTCCGCATATCATACATATACACCTATTGCAACAAACGGCCACCCAGGTTCTCCAAAAAGGCATTCTAAAGATTGATTATTATACAAAATGTGCTCAGCCTATTATGCTAAGATTTGACTCATGACTTAGGGCCGATTCAATTGCTCGCGGCGATAGAACAGAAGGAAACCAAAGCTGGAAGAGGAAGTCAGTATAATGGCGAGGAATAGAGAAAGGGCAATAATAACTTACCTAGCCAGAAGCTGGAAGAAGAGGGCAACCCAGAACCACGCATTACCGAGTTTATCCAACCCTGTGCCCACAGCTGGAGAAATGCCTGCCGGTCCGATGTTGTTGGGCGCGAATCCACGAGCACAGATTGTGGCAATAGATCCAATGGACTGAGCGGCCAATAGGACAAAGCAGACGTGCACTCTTGTCAAAGTCTGTAGAAGAATCATTCCCAAACCGACTTGCTGGATCTCATCGAGAACGCCAAGCCAGAGCCAGAGACATCGGGACGCGATGGCACCAGATGTCAGACTTCCAGCCCATGGGAGGTAGTAGCCAATATCAGATGTTCCCCACCACGTTTGCGCCCACCGAGGTGCACCAATACTGAGACCGAAGACGGGTAAAATCCAACTATGCTCCTTGGACAAGATTTTGAACAAGAACATCAGAGCGATCCAGAGAACGATGAAAAATGCTACCACTATGACCACGACCTCCCATGTCTTGGTGTGTTGGGAGGACCAGAGGAATGACCAATTACGACCGGTCGCCGCGGCGAGGAACCAGTTCTGGACAATGACCATGAAGAAGAACCAGAGAACAATGCGTCGACGGAAGAGGGAAGTGTAGAAGAAGAGGATCTTGCCGGGAGCTTGACGATAGTACTTGGGCAAGCCCAGAGCAAGAAGCACACCGATAATGAAGCACACAAGGGCAATAGGCATGACCACAGCTGCGACTCTCCACGAGCTCAAAGCAAGTGTAGAAACACCCCCGACTTGCACCGCAGTGACCCTAGAGCTCCAGTACCACAAAGCCACGGTGTAAAGTTGCGAGATACCCTGGATGAGACTGGCGCGGAACATCCAATCTTTCACAGGGACTGCACCTTGATCACCAAAGTTAAGGGCAAAGAACAAGGAACCGCTCGAAGATGCAGCGGCATAGACACCCGCGGCAACATTCTGTGCCCATTCTCGACCGAGAGACGTAAGACCAAACGGCGACACACCGATGATGATGAACGCAATGGAGTAAATGAACCATGGGACGGTGAGAACTGTCACCGACGGGAAGCGGAAAAAGAGGAACCACCAAACGATAGAAGAGACGCAGTAAATTGCCGCGATAATGTAGAGCTTGGTTGCGGTCTCGCCCACTTGGCCAGTCAACAGGGTGATCTGTGCCGAGTTCGTTGCGATGATCTGTCCGAGACCCAAGAACAGGGAGTAGACAGGCCAATTTCCGACGCGCCATCTCATGAATCTCTGGATAGCCATGGGTCTCTTGTAGCCCAGACGAGCGAGCCACTGATCGATTTCATCTGTGCCATTTGATTCCGAATCTTCGGAGGCGTCTGTGACGCGGTTGTAGGGTGTCATTTCGACAGCGTGGTCCAAGCCGGCTCCAGTCATGGGACGCTCCTTCGGGTGCTTTTTCAATTGTGCGTCGGTGTACATGTTGAAGAACTTGCGCTCACTCTTCATCAGGTAAACTTCGATACAGTAATCTGTGCTCGAATTTTTCTTGTTGAGGTTGGTGAGAAGCTGCTCGAAACGTCGCGTGAAATGCCCCATGCTGTCTGTAAAGGTCGGGTCGACCTTTTGCAGGTGGAAAACGGGCTGATCATGATCGGCGACGACAGAAGGCAAGGAGAGAACAGATACATTGCGACTGTGAGCCCAGGGAGCGGCTCTTCCAAAACTGGGGTCATAGGCGGGATCGGGTGATCTGACTGGAGAAGAGTCGCGGGACACGAAGCGGGAGGGGTCGGTTGATACGGTAGACTCGCCGCGAGACTGACGGCTGAAATTCCTATGGGTAGGGCTGAGATTTTGAGATATGAGACTGGAATTGACCGCTGCCATAGCCTCCTCATGAGAGATGTGGTTCTCTTGCGACGTAGCAGCACCGTCTTCCTCGGCATCGGTGGTATCGCCGTCGACCGGCTGTTCTAGCATCTGGCTCTCGCGTAGAGAATTCTTGATGAGACGCTTCCTGTCCTGTCCGGGTCCAGCACGTCGACCGAGTGAGAGCTGACGACCCAGCGTGCTGCTTCTGTTGTTGTCGGCTGCTTGCATTTCTTGAGCCTCGGCCGCCTGGAGCTCAAGAAGAGAGGGCTGAACGGGCTCCGATGTTCTGACTGGTGGCGTATCCGTTCCTGACTGGTGTGACATTGGGCCCATCATGGTTGAATATCGCAAGCCCTGCATGTCCCATTCACTCTGGGTCTCTGGTTGTGGGCCTGTCACCGTTTGCTGGTTCTTTCCGTGATGGATTTGGATTGAGGTCCGTTGCAATGCTTCGAGCTTCTGAACCCACTCGAGAACGGGGAATCGCTGCTTGGCAGAGTTTGCACGCATTTCCGCTCTAGTCTCTACTGATGAGTCCAAAGCGGACTTGATGGCGATCCTCAATTGGTGCATGAGATGGCGAGCCGAATCAGATTCCACGGTGTACCACCAACCAGGCATCTGGCCTAGACCTCCGATGCGAGAGCCAATACCGAGCGCGCCTTTGCGGCCGAACTCAACTGCAATCAACCCGAATGGTTCATCTCGAGATGGGATCAAGGCGAAGTCGGCACCGGAAAACACGAAGGGGGGAAGGATCGTAAACTCTGGCCTAGAGAACACACGGCCAGGGAACATTTCCATAATGCGCTCCAACTTGATAGCAGCCAGCTTGCCATAAAGGTCAATGATGGGTCCAATACAGATCAATTGCACCTGGGGTCTGGCAGACAGGACTGCCGGCATAACATCCGCAATCAAGTCGACACCCTTTTGTTTCGACCATCGTCCCACAAATACCAGCAAGTCAGCATCGGGGTCCTCCTTCAAACCAGCCCATTTCTGTGCCTGCAGCTTGTCATTGACGGATTCGTCGTGAGACTGAACCGCAACTTCCGCGTCTGGGTTCTTCTCCAAGGCGGCTGTGTCGGAGGGATCTGGGTTGGGAAGGCTGCCAATCTTGCCCAGACTCCAGAAAATTGGATAACGGGCCCATGAGCGCTTTCCGTACTTCTCGGAAACACCCACTGCACCGAAGCCGCGCTGGTGGAATCGCAAATAACTGGCGCCGGTGTGGAGCAGGTTAAACACGTTGCCAAATTGACAGTACTTTGTTGCTGTTTCAACTGGAAGATTGAAAACTGAACAGACCTCCTTCTTCTCTTGCTGGGTTCTCAGTGCCCAGAGACCCTGGAATTCGGCATTGTGGAGGGACAGGCAGACTGGGATAGTTCGTGTCGGCAACAGGTAAAGCGGTGCCAGACAGCCATGGAAGTCGTTGATGTGGTAAAGATCAATGGAGGGATTTCGCTTGATTGCCTCCGCAATACACTGATTCCAGGCCGAGTAGTAGATTGCACTGTCGAGGTCATCCATGCGGGGTGGATATGGTTCTGCCTTGGTTTGCTGTCGGAAGACCGGAGCATCAAGGAGAACATAGGTGATATTATCCACGACGTGATATTGCACTTTAACCAGGTAGGGATTGTCCAGGATCGTCACCACAAAGTCTTCAGTTGGCGTGTCTCCGGGGTATTCGATATCACCAACACATGGTACCACCCAGATGAGATTCTGGTGCTTCAGGTTCTGGGACATCAGCTGTGCCATGACCCCCAGACCGCCAATCTTGACTTTGATCTTCCAGTCTGAGATGTCATACTCCATAGTGGCGATCAATACGGTGCGCTTTTGGTCGGCCGCTCCGGCCGCTCCGGCCACAGTGAGATCTGTCGGCATAGCGTTTTCCGAAAGGTTGTCCTGTGATTCATTTTCTCCACCAAGTCTTTCTTTGAGACGGCGGTAAAACAGGAAAGGCATCTTATCATTTTTAATGGCATTGCCATCTTTGTTGAGCTTGACACGGTAGAAAGTGCAGATGAAAATGTAGACACCAGCTGCACCCATGAGGATGGGAACAACCCAAAGAAGAATGTAGAGAACAAGCTGAGCCCATCCGGATCCGATGGGAATTAACTCATAGCTCAAGTTTCCATCGTCGAGAGAAATGGTCCATCCAAGGTGCGGGAACGGTGGCAGTTTAGTGATGTTGATCACATTGGACGAGAGATAGGATGGAGGAAGCTTTTGAACCACAGAGGAGTTGCTAACATCGCCATAGACTTCTGTAGTATCCGGAATGCCATTACTGCCCACACCCCAGACATTCAATTGTCCCACTGCTGGCCATTCGTAGACAAAGTCATAATTCCAGCGAGAGGTTTTGGGGTCGAGGGTCACTTCACTATCCAGTCCTGCATCGTAACCGTACTGGTTGTATGGGCCGTTAAACCACATGTGAGGGAATCTTCGCGAGGTACCTTTCTCCCAATTATAATCACCCTCCTGGACGTAGTCGCTACTTCCAGTGAGCTTCGAGAAGTACTGTACGCGGATATGAGTGCCCTCCCATTTTTGCCTACCAGTCCAAGCCGGGATGTCGATATCCGTGTTTCCACCTGAATAAGTCGTCCAGTTGGACCAACTCCGGCCGAAATCAGACGAGTATCGGTACTTGTCCGCGCCAGCCGCATTGTGGGTAAGGTAGAGACTGTCCTCGGATTTGTGCACCAGACTGGAAGAGTAATTGAAAAGCGGCGAGATCAAGGGGTTGTCGTGGGCACCAACGCGAATCAAAAACTTGTCGGTCGAATTGGTATAGACACCCGACGAAGAAACATTTTTGACAGTCAGTTGGTGGATTCCGTGATGAACATTGTTCAAAGTTGCAGACCATGTCCAAGTAGTCGGGATTTCTCCGACAAAGTTGTTATCCGTCGTCCGGGCAGTGATGTTTGTGCAGTGGACACTGGATGTATCGAGAGAAGCGTTGACCCCTTTTTGCGTCTTCGAATCGAGAACAATTGATTTGGTGATACTTTCACAATTCATCTCCTTGGAATATCCAAGCTGAATTGGAACATCTTCGCCCGAGTCTTCCGGAGACAGCAAGCGTGCATCATGCCCAGGGAGGAAAGATGTGACGGTAGGACCAGGTTCAACGAACTTGTCAGTCTTCACATAAGCCCGATATTCCCAAGGAAGCAACTTCATTTTCCGGACGCATCCGTAGGAGCTGTCAGGACCATCTTCCACAGTGGCCTCATCGTAAGGATAGAACAAATTCTTCACTTTTGTCCCCGAGTCAAATGGAGCCAACAGCGCAGTATCTTTGTCGCTGCAGGAGCCACCATAGGTCTGTGTTTTGTTTCCGTTCTGGTACACAAGCCACAAGGTCTCGTTACCCTGGATTGCCTCCTTTTGAACGCCAGGGAAATAGCTTCGCAAGACAGACCACAGGCCAGTGACCGTAGGGGTGGTCGATGAACCAGGGAGATAGATATCTTTGGTGAGCTGGGCGACTGTCTTAAGATACAAACCATCCTGAGCGACTGGGTAGTGCTCTCTAATTTCGAACATTCGCTTCATGATGTTTCGAAGTGGATGGGCCGGATTGCGCTGGTCATAGGTGATGGTGATATCATGACAGCCATCTCGTCCCTTTTCAATCGGGAAATCATAGAACTTAGACGTGTTCAGGTTGAAGCAACCATTTGTCCACCAGGCAGTCTGGTAGGTCATGGGCTGCCGGCCAAACATGTAGTTCGATGCAGTGGCATCGAATACGTACATGGCCTGCTCTTCGCCCCAAAGGATGAGAGGAATTCCTGGAAGCTCCAGCGAGATGATGTAAAGACCCAGGAGGTACTTGTCTGTGCCATTCTGGAGCGCCGGCCAGCGGAAGTTATCCTGGTTCGAAACACCATACATATGCCTGGGATCCAGCTCTCCCGTGAATGCGTTCAAAAAGTCATTCGTGATGAGCATCTCATTCCAGGCTTCAATGAAATCCGTAGGCAAATCGAAACCGGCGGCCAAGTTACCGTCTATTCCCAGGAAACGGGTCATCGACCGATAGATTGTGTAGTGGAATGCGGAGGAATCTAATGCTTGCAAGCCGTCCTCTCTTAGGAAATACGAATCCGAGCTGTTTGTCAACTTGACACCAGCGCCTGCCGACTCCGGACGTTGATTCGGCTGACGACCACGGCCGAGGTAGAGACTACCAAAGGTATCTCCAGATGTAATCTCGCCGGGCAGGAAGAAATTGTTCTTGCCGTATTTCTTCGCACATTCACGGTAAACAGGGAGCATCTCACTTAGGGGCTCAAGTGTCGATTGAACACTCTTATCAAATCGGAAACCATCAACATCGAGACTTGCTATTTGCAGGCAGGTGTGTCGAGTGAGGACATCGCGAACCGGTTTGTGCCATTCACGCAAGCGATCCTGCACTGAGGCAAACTTCGTGAGTTGGCGTTGCCAGTCGGGGAAGTTCCCAAACGCCTCCAACTCTCCGTACTGATCGAAATCACTGTCATAGCAACCCTTCAAGTCTTCAATCCCGCCGGTTTTTAACGGGTAACCATCCTCGGTCCAGAAACGAGGATAGTTGCATGTTTCGTTGTACTCGTTACCGAATTGGAAATCGGCGTATTTTCTGTCTGTGACCCATTCGACTTGGTATTCTTGTGCACGGAAATCGGCGGAATCATTCAGGTGACCTTTGAACCCGATCAGGTTGCTCAGTCTGTTCTTGGGGGTCAGCTCTGGATACCAGAATATCTGAAGCATTGCAGGGCTATCGACTTACGTTGACAGCGTATTATCCACCACGACGTACATGCCTCGATCGTGAATCTCGGTGATCGTCCGCCTCCAATCCTCCAGTGTGCCTAAATGCATGTCGAGCAGAGTGGTATCGACTGGCGAGTACCCATCGTAGGCCCAGGGCAGGTTCATTAAATACGTCCCGGCGAAATAGATGACCTAGGAAAGTTATGGAGAGTTAGAGAGAGTTAATGATGAAATAATTTAGGGATCTGGTCAGCTTCACCTTGAAGCCCATGCCCTGGATATAGTCCAGTGTATCTATCAAGCCTTCCAGATCACCACCGTGGCGCATCTGATTAGAGTTGAGCACATGCTCAAAGGTGGTCCCGTTGATATCATCGTTGGTGGGATCGCCGTTGGAGATACGGTCCAAAAAGATTGTATATGTAGGGAGTCGCCAGTTATCTGGCGACGGATGATATTTATGGTCCGGCCATACTCCCCAGTAATCGATAGGGCCGTCAGCGTCTTTATTATCGTTCAGGTTATAATCAGCGAGGGACTCGCTGTAGGGCCAGGAGAGGGCAAAGACGCTCAGAAACGAAAGTATGAAAAATGCTGAGCGCTGCATCTCCGTATAGATTAAGCGGGTATCAAGCAAGAGCCTGCTGCCGGAAACCGCGTGACTCAAGCCTTGCAAACGAATGAAAAAAAAAGCTTTTATGCGCGCCGAGAAAAAGCGAGAGCGAGATGAATGAAAGAACAAATGATGCCACTGGAAACAATTATTTGGGCTTTCGCAATTTTACTATGGGGAGACCTTTTGAGGCCCTTATCGGGCCGAACGATGGATGGGCTATACCGGGCCAACTGGTCCACTATACTTCCCACTGCTGCAGACCCTAGGTTAGGCCCACTTCAACCGATTTTGTCGATCCACCAATGACTTTTTCGTAGGCCCTGGGTGGTCGCGTTTTAGGTCGGTGTCTCAGACAAACCAAGCAAAGGATTTGATTTCACACCTACTCTATGCAAAGGAGAGTGGTGAACACACGGGCACAGCCGACACACATGGCGCAGTGTATATTTTGAGAATTTCCTATAGAGCAAAAGCCTCCACCCTACTTTCTAGGTTGTTCTTCTCTCCCTTGGTTCGGCATTACTTCCACATGGTGCTATCCATAATTAGAGAAAATTGCCATAAGTACCGGTGATTGGCTTATCAGTGCAACGAATCGTGAGGATCAGCCAAGGTGTTCGAGGATAAAACCTTCTAGAAACACGGAAGAACAATTGCTGAGCAATCGAGCTCATAAGTTGACACATTTCACTTTCTTTGTTTTAAGGCAGTACAATAAAGCCGGGTATTTCGCTTCTATTTCTACCACAATTCTAACAATACTTGGTTACCGTAAAATGCTATCAATCCTTCGGGGCTTTTTAATCTGGTCCCGGACGCCACCCGGAAGCCCCTGACGTCACATCAGAGGCTTATATCACTGAATATCAGGTGATTCAGAAAATTTGTTAGTGAAATGGGGATCGGGGGCCGGAGGTCCGGAGGAGTCGATTATCCGCGACTAGCGAGGTCTATATGGAGAGGACTAGCTGGACGAAAGAGGTATATTGCCTAACGAAAGTATGTGCGTGTACGCAGCTGATTGAGCGCTTGTCTATCTAAACGTGCGCTCACACTGGCCTATATCATCGGACCGGCGGAACTTGCCTAATCGGTCTGACATTATTCCTTATCATGAACATGCATATCATCAATGACATGAAATGGTTCAAGAGAGAACTTTCCAATCCCACGCGACCCTGCCAAACGTCATGCTCAAGAGCCGGGGTGGATGTTGCATGTTGACGTGTGGTGGCCATACCCAATTGAGGGCTTCGATGGCACTAGGGAGGTGAGTTACTGCGACTATAAATACCTGGGTCTTTTCTCATAGATTGAATATAATGATCACACTTGTACCTCAATTCAGCGTTCTAACTTCGGCGAGGGGCCAGGGTAGAGTAAATGAAATCTACTTACCTACCTACCTACCTACCTACATGTATCAAAAAGATTAGAAATGTGAGACCAATCACGACCCGCCCGTATGTAGAAGCATTTACCCGACCCACAACGCAAACATCGTGGGTCACAAGGACCAATCACTAATCAACCAAGATGGGCTATATATAGCAAAACTATATATATCCTCATCGATATTGGGTCGCGCACGCACTTGTGCTTGTGTGCTCGTGCACCCTGACGAGTGGTAACTGCGCCGATGAATGCCTGATTATTGGGTTGTTGGAGTACATACACACTATCAGAATCCTTTTCTGCATGTGCTATGGCCATCAAACGATCATCAGAATTCCGGATTGCGAAAAGAAAGCCGTGAATTGTCCATATAATCAATCTGAAATCCAAGCTTGACTAAATGGCTGAAAGACAGTAGGTTCTTCCGCTTAAAAGCAGGTACGTACTGGGCGTTTTGGACAATGAAATCATCGCCAAAAGGCAACCGGATACTACCTACGCCCATCACAGGATTGTCTGATTCGTTCGGTAGGTTGACCTGGATCGATCATGGGTGATTGTCCAGGCGGTACCAGTATCCAATATCCATTCTTCATTGACTCTAGCAAGGTAATTGACATCTACCAAGTTGGCTGAGCCATTTGCTTGATTTCGCTGTCGATCATTTTCCGGTGGAGGGCGTTTATCAGGGTGTTTGGTCCGACATTCACCCTCCAGGTGGCGTCCTTTCTTGCAATATGGGCAAAGAGGTAGGGAGCTCCTGCCTGGTTTGTAGGGTCGTTTAGGCTGACTATCGGATTCCTTAGCCTTACCCTTGTCGGTAATCCGTTTTTCTCGTGAAATCGGTGATCGCCAGGGATCTTGCCGAAAAACGGCGAATTTCGCAGGAGAATAATTGCCTGAGGTAGGCGTCCGTGTCTGAGCTTCATATTCAGAAAGAACTTCTCGCACGTTGAGCGTGTGAACATCCTTATGACGAGAATTATTGAATTCACTCGCTACACTCGTGAGGCATGTATTCATGCGAGCGAAGCTGTGGGGTTTCTGCGAGGACAAAGAAAGGTCTCCCTAATACAGTTCGGACCGTACAAGATCTTCATTAAAAAAAAAAAAAAAAAAAAAAAACAAAACTCTGGGGCATTGCGGAACAGGAATTCGGCCACACCGTCCTGGTTAAGTGATTCACTTTCGTGCCTGGTCCAGAAGAAGTCGTGGATCTTGGATATAAAATACCGAGGGCAGTAATGTTGATAAATCTGGATCGTTTATATCCATGACCCCCCGGGGCGTAGAACCAGCTTCAAGATACAAGCAAAAACTTTCACGAGCTTGTTTCAGTGGCGAAAAGCGCACACCTCCCAATTTTCAACGATCAGTAAGCCCTACATTTGCCTTGTTTTGTACTTCAACTATTAACACCCTTGACAGTTGGTTACTTGTCACAAACGAGAAAATTTGACAACGTTTTGCTGAAGTCCCGAAAACCCGCGAGCCATCGGGCAGGGGACATAAGTCTCTCCGGGATGTAAAAAGCCCCGCTGCTCGTAATTCATAAATGATACTGACAACAAGGATCTCAATCCTTCTCACCTTATCCCCTGATCAAATCGTAACATCTCAATCGGCTGCGGGCTGCTGATTTCATCCGAGACAGAAAAAAAACCCCTCCTTTCTCTTTTTTTTTTTCTCGGGCAGGACTGACCGAGCGGAGGATGATGTTCGGGATCGATGATGATGATTCATGACTGTATACGGAGGGACACCCGTCCTTTTTGTCGACTTACTTCTTTTTTCTTCTGTCATTTTACCCTTCTGCCCCCTACTACTACCTAGCTCCCATTGGTATCAGTTGTATCACTATCACGCATCATGGTCTTCGGGTGTAAATCCGTCCCCTTCAACCCGGAGCAGGACATCCCGCCGCTCAACGGCAAGGTGATTCTCGTGACGGGCGGCAACATCGGCCTGGGCAAGCAATGCGTTCTGGAATACGCCCGCCACTGACCGGCACTGATCTGGCTGGCAGCACGCAACATCGACAAGGCCCAAGCCACAGTCGACGAGATCCGGCAGCAAGTGCCCGACACACCCCCGATCAAGGTGCTGGCGATGGACCTCTCATCCCTAGACTCGGTAGCACAGGCCGCCCGCACGGTGACAACCGAGTCCGACCACCTGGACATCCTGATGCTCAACGCGGGGGTCATGGCTGCCCCGCCGGGCCTGACCCAGGACGGCTACGAGCTGCAGTTCGGCACCAATTACCTCGGCCATGCACTACTTGCCAAGCTCCTGCTGCCACTGCTGGAACGGACCGCCGCCAGTTCTTCCCCGCAGGACGTACGCATCGTCGCGATCTCGTCGCACGGCTACGTTTACGCCCCCCAGGAAGGCGTGCTCTTCGACTCGCTGCGTAAACCCGCCGACGACCTGGGCGCGTTCGGCCGCTATGGACAAAGCAAGCTGGCCATGGTCCTCTGGACGCGCTATCTGGCTCGCAAATACCCGCAATTCACCTGCGCGTCCATCCACCCGGGCGTCGTGCGCACAAACCTCATGAACAACGCCACGGGGTCGCCGCCCATTATCCGGCTACTGGGCAAAGTGACCAGCATGATTTTCACTTCGGTCGACCAGGGAGTGCGCAATCAGCTTTGGGCGTCGGTGTCCAAGGACGTCAAAAGCGGCGAATATTACGAGCCTGTAGGGATTGGGGGGCCCGTCTCGCCATTAGGGGAGGATGATGCCCTGGCGCAGAGGATCTGGGATTGGACCGAGAAGGAGCTCGAAAGATATGTGGTGGATTGAGTGAATAGAATGTATCGTAATGTTCTATGCTAGATACTTAATACGGGTATATTAGTCGACGTACCAGCAAGTGGCTGTCCTGCCTAGACAGCGAATTGTCTGTTTTAGCTGTTATCAGTTACAGAATATGACCTTTAAAACATCGCCAATACGCGGTTTGGTCGCAGTATGCGCAGCAATTCAACCTAAAAGCCAAGTATTATTCTTGGAGAGATGTACGCATTATCACCCTTCCTTGTTCTGTGTTTATTCACTGACCTGTTGCTGTTTTACAGACCGGAATTACGGCCCTCTTCTGCATCTCTACGTATCTTTGCGTTTTCATCATGATGAAACTGCGCAGTAAGAAGACCGAGACTGCTCGCTCCGGGTAGTTAATGGTTAGGTGGTTTGGGCACATCGCGAACCAGGTGCCCCTGCATACCAATGGGAGAAACCTTTGCATCTCTTCTTTTGCCTTTTGTATTTAATTCCATCTAAGCATCTTTTTTTCATGTCGAATATTCTGTATTTGTTCTATTTGTATGATAATCAGCTGCTCCTTTCTTTATTTGCCTTGTCTGTCTGAGTTAGTGTCCGCCTACAGTTCTTAACACATTACACCATGCTACAAAGTATAGTCGATTCTTATTCTTATTTTGTCCAACATACATGTGGCGGAATGCCCCTATACTAGCGGTGGATTAGGAGAATCAATTGTCCGCTTGGATAGCCGCCGCAGCCGAAACGGACATTTAATGTTACGGAACATTCCTCATATAAGCCATACATTGAGTCTCTTCTCAGAATGCCTATAGTACCAGGCAATTCTAGGCTGGTAACATGACTGGTACCCGTGCAATCCGCAAACGAGAACGCGTTTGTCCATGGTGCTCCCGATCCTTCACCAAAGATGAGCATCTTGCGAGGCACATTCGGACACATACTCGGGAGAAACCTTTCACCTGTGAGACATGTCAGCGAACATTTAGCCGCCAGTAGATAAGCCCTGTTTACATCTATCCTTTGGCCAAGATGTTAAGCTAATCCTCTAGTGATTCCCTTTTGCGACACGCGAGGCGCCACCGGTCCTGCAGCATCCTTTCGGCTCCGGAGACGCGGTCAGAAAACCAGTCGCTCGATTCTACCAATAATCATCAACATGCCACCCAGCAGATAAGTCCTGTGCCGCTGTCGGCTCAGGACTTTACTGAAATTCAGCCGCGCGCTCAACCTGAACAACCACGGCCCAATGCAACTGCATTCCTCAATCCAGCGTCTGTCAACAACGGCAGCAATATGGAGACCATTATCCCCAACAGCAGCGTAACAATTCCGCCCTCTACTGCGGGCGACTTGACAAGGGCCTCGGCAACAGACTTGCTTCTAACAGGATCTTATCCGGGTCCCGCTGCCGCCACTGCGGGCCTCGATCTGACGTCCCACACTCCAACATGGTTTGCCGGCGACGATTTTGATCTTGATGCCTTTAATGCAGCGATCATGTTTTCAACCACGTGCCCCTACCCATCAGATTTTGGACAGCTTGTCAATGACGAGCCAATAAATTCGATCAATTATAGTCACCAACCCTCTGTGGATAATCGGCCACCTCCAGTCGAAGATCTTATCCGAGACAATTGGTTCATCTTCGTCAAAGAGCCAGGCTCGGGATCTATGACACCAGATAATGCACCCGAACAAATTCACGTCGATGAAGCATACCGGGAACGCCTCGTCGTTAAGCTACAGCACTCGGTTCCCAACCTTCCTCTTCCGTCAACGGATTTCCTAGTAAGATCCCTCTATCCTCCTCACCCTGTCTTAGTAGTTACTTACTTTGGCCAAGAACCTTTGTGTACAGATGTACTTTACCCGGTTTCATCCCATCTTTCCCGTCTTACATGCTCCAACATTCCGTCCATCCGCCAAGCGCTCTCTATTATTACTGTCGATATGTTCTATTGGGAGTCTATTCTTGGGCTCGGCCCACGCCGCTTCTCAAGGCTTGAAAATCTTCGAAACACTCAACAAAGCCATCCTATCATCGGTGTGCCGTCATTTCTGTTCAATCTCCCTTTTCCAATCGTGTCTCTAACGATCAACAGTGGGAAAAATGCATAATAAACGGAGGATCAGAGGCCATTGCAATGGTTCAAGCGGCTCTACTTGGCCAAACCTTTGGCCTTCTGTCGAGGGTGAGGCACCATCCGCGTCCCTGGAATGAGAAGGTCAAGCTGCTGACTACTACCATATCAGAGAAAGAAGGACTTGCTGACCGCACAGACCTTTCATGGCACAGTGGTCGCGGTAAGCCTTAAGAGTATTTGTTGTAAAACAGAGTACATGCTCACCAACAAGGCAGTGGGCAAGACGTTTTAACATGTTCCGAAATAGCTGTGCTTCCGACCACACCAACCATAACCTCGTCGCGAACCATCCCCAGAAGGCATGGGAAACATGGATTCGTGTAGAAGAACGGAATCGGTAAGAATAGACCTCAGATAATTCCGCCACTCGCTGATCCGGAGTTCATGAGGGAAGGGTCGCTGCGGGACTATGTATACATGATGTCGAGATTGCCGAGCTTTCCCATTCAGACCCCCTCCTGCGCAATTGGCTCTTCAAAGTGCCACCGGTTTCCGACGAGATTCTTTGGGGTGCCCCCACTGCCGACGTGTGGGCGAAAGCTATGACTGGACTCCCATCGCACTCGATTTTATGTAACGAGTACTCGCTGCTACAGACGCCTGCTAGCTTGCCAGGCAGGTCGGATGTTGCGGACAAGGTTATCTGGAACAAAGGACTACGCGCTTATCTAGAACTGGAGGGGATCGCAGCTTGTATCATCGAAGGCCGAGGTTTAGAGGATTTCAGCCGAAGAGAACAATATACAGAGTCGCTTATACATCTCTACAACTCGCATATCAAGACCCAAAAGAAAGAGGGTCACGATCTCTACTTACTATCGGTCTTATGGCACTCGGCCTTCATTTCCCTGTATGCCGATCTCAATAGACTGGAGCTGGCTGTTGGCAAAGAGGGTCATGATGAAGCGCAGCAGCATCTGAATTATGTCCGCGAGTGGGCTTGCTCACAGGTTGGACAACGGTGTGCGCTTCATGCCGTCATGATCTTGCGGGACCTTGAAGGAATGAGACTGGGAACTGAGCCTCCAATCCATGTTCCCCGGATTCTATTTCGCGCGGCAATCACTTGGTTCTGCTACAGCAAATTCGGAACCGATACCTTGGAACTTTCACAGCAGCTGCCCCTTGATTTTGCCGAATTCAAGATCTTGGGTATTAACTGCCGACGATTGCTTTTTGAAGCCAATGGCTACCGCAACTTCCGGCCGAATACACCGGAATCGTGTACCTTCCGTGGGCTTGTCGACATACTTCAACGAGTGGGTCATTGGGGTATATCGCAAAATTACGCGTCTATCCTAAGTTTACTTCTTCCTGAAGGGACCAAAGATTAGAAAACAAGGGTAATAATCATAACTATCTCCTCCTTCACTCTGTTTTTTTTATTCAACGAGGCATGCATCATTCCCAAGCCGGATAAAGTCTTTTGTACTTAGCGCCACTAAACCAGCTGGATATGTTGCTCATAATAATTGAATATCCCTATACCATTTCCAGTTTGAGGAACTATAGTTTATTAGGATATATTTGCTGACGCACAATTCAATTGTCCTTGAGCAGGATGGAAGACTACTGCTATCGCTCACATTAGACAAGCGGGACTGTGGCACCCAAATACATCTCCACATCTCGGGGCCAAAAGGGATAGAATTACCCCTATATGTGTGACAGAAATCGCTATTGAACATATCCCAGGCGTGACTAGTCTTTGATTGCTACAACGCTATATCAATACAAGGAATTAGGCAGCAAGAGTTTTGGACTGGTCATGTTCTCTAATTACTAAACGGTCAGCTATATGTTTCCATTTTCTCTGCCTCTCGGCTAACAGACTGAGGGCAGCAAGCCTGCATATCCTATATAGCTGTCGATAATGCACGCTTGGAACATGCACTGGCAGAGAACAAACACCATTTAGCCCTGAAGATAGGCGACCGCAGCCGCCGCGGCGCTCGTCAGATCCTGCTTATTGTCGACCGCGGCAAAGACAAAGCAATCTGGTCGGAGAATAATGTACTTCTTCCGGCCGAGAACCTTGCCTATGTAGTGAGGGTCGTAGAACCGTGGCTCCGGGCGATTCTTGCATAGTGGCGAAGCCGCAAATTCTGGACCCGTTGCCAATCGGTACACGCCTTGTGCTTGTGTGATACCACCACAATCATCGCCCTGGAGAGCAGACATGTCACTTGAGTCCTCGACAAGAAATGTCACGTCCCCCGCACATAACTCGCCCCGCGAAATGTCCTCGATGTCCGAGACTACCTGACGTGCGCCGGGAAGCTCACTGATACTTTGCAGGTAGACAAGGATCCGGAAGAGCCGTTGGCCTGTATAGGAATTGCGTGTAGCGAAGATGACATCGTCGGTGAAGTGAACCACCCCGTCTGCGTATTCGGCTTCCTCGATTGTTGCGCTTTGTTTATTGCTACGCAATGGCGTCACGGGCGTACAGTAGCTCTGGGGTAGACACAGGCCACCGCAATGCTCGGGGAGGAATGGCATCCCCTGCGAATACAAGTAGCGGACCATACCACCTTTCCGGCGCCCAAGTCGCAGCTCTCTGCGCCATTGCGGTACCAGCTGCAGGATGAAAAAAGGACAAGTGCAAAAGAGTATCATGAGACTGCTGCTACTCGTCACGAAGCGGCCATTCTCAACGGTCGATGCGAGGGATTTCTCGAGTTGCTGCTTGCGCTCAAGGTACCAGTCTTGGAGGATCTTTTCATGTGAGTTTGTTAGGTGTGACCGCTGCGGTCGACAGAGTAAGGCCAGACGCCAGGCCAGGGAGGCAGCATCGCGAAAGCCAGAGGCAATTCCTTGACCACCAACTACAAACCAACAAGCGTCAATCTATCTAGTTTCAACTTTTTTTTTTTTTTTTTTTTTTGGTGCCGCACTGGTGATAAGGAAAGGAATTGACCTACAAGGAGGAAATACATGCGCCGCATCGCCGCACAGGACGACGCGGCCGTTACTCCAGCGATTGCAGCTTCTGGCGGAAAATCGGAAGGGTCTTGATCGTAGCACACGAATACAATCTTCGGGAAATTGCACGTCGTGGGAGAGTCTGAGTGTATCAGAATTGGCACTCGTTGCACTGGAATGAACTTGGTTCTCGGAGCAAGAGCACTCACCCGTATCGACTCCCTGGATGGGTGATGTATGGGAAGACCACTTTCATAATCATTTCCTTCTTAGCCATTTCTTCGCCATCCTCATCGGCCCCGACGACGAACTCAAAGCGCCAGAGTCGGTCTTGAGGTAGTCCAAACCGCCCACAGACTGCTGGACGTTCCGAATTGCACAGGAACCGGAAATTCACAGGGAAGAAAAGATCGTAAACTTGCTCGGGCGTGTATCCTCGGGTCCACAGCGGAAATCCAGGATGGCTCTTCTCGGTAGGGAGAGTGATCTCCCAGTTCAGGGCTACCCAGGTCTCGTCATAGAAGGAACTGCACCAAAGACAGCGGTCAGCCAGTCGTCCCTGCAAGTATAATCAGCATCGACAATGGAGCCTACCGGTCGGCGAATTCCATGTGGACTCCCAGAGGCTCCAGGTAGTTTTTCCGAGTGAAGCCGGTTTTACCATCAGCACCCACGAAAAAGCGTGACCGAATACGGTGCGCGTTTCCTTCGGAATCACGATAGTGGCAGTACGTCCAGTCAGCGTCCTCTGATAGGTGAGATACTGAGCAACCAGATCGCAAGTCGCACGGTCCATCCATCGCTTCTCGCAGGCATTTCTCCAACACAGGCTGCTTGTGGCATATGAAGCCGACATGCCCGGTGCCTCCCTCTGTCTAAATTCTCAAAATACAAGTCATCCCTGCACTCTTGAAACATTGACCAAAACTGTGCTGGAAGAACTAACCGTTGCATAATCCATCTGTAAGAATGGTCTTTGATCAAGCGCTTTTTTGGTCCCGCCTATGAACTGGAACTGCTCCATGCCTAGACGAAGATCAGTCAGCTATGAGAAAAGTCTTACGGACGCGGTGCTATAGCCTGGTGGTACAGGAACGAATGACCACCTACAGGTTCCAATCTGGGTATAGATCTTGTCGTATATGCCAACGCCTTGGAGTAGACGGATACCATCTTCGTCCAGAGCAATTCCTCTTGGGTCCGTCGTAATTGCAGTGTCTTTCTCCAAAACCACGTGCTGAACGGACATTCGGCTAAGGTATGCTGAGAGCAAAGCACCGGTTGGTCCGCAGCCACAAATGACTACGCTTGTTGCCTCAAAGTCCGTCATGGTAGGTAGACAGTACAAGGCGACTGTAGATGTAAGGTGGGCAAACAGAAAGAACTGGGATATAGATGCCAAAGAAACAACCAAACACAAATTATTTCAATGCCCGTTTCTTAGTCTCTTTTTAGAGAAGAAACAGAAACAAAATATATGCCTCGTTACTCTACCGGCGGGGAATGCGGGACGGTACCTTTCTTCATAGGAATATCGGTGTAGCAACGACGGAGACAATGATGGATCCCCGCAAATATGGGGGATCTGAACAGATAACCGGGGATCGCCACATTCTACGTGTTCTGTGGAGTGTTGTGAGGGGTCCGATTCCGAAGCTTGTTGTGAAGCAAGCGAGCGGGACGGGTGGGAACACGGCGTCATATGCCAACGGAGACTCCGTTCGTGGTCCAGTATTAAAATTATAAGACGGCGAGGTGATGCTGCATCACTCTTTGTTCCCCCAAACACGCAACACAAGAGGAAGCAGCAATCAGCGGATACACAAACTGAACATTAGTGGCCAATATGGTATGTAGTCCCCAGATGCTACAAAGCTTTACTTCACATATTAACGGTAAATATCTCAGTCATTGGAGACTCCTGTTATCCCAGCAAACCGAGGTGCTTCTATCTCGGACACAGTAGCCGTGGGATCGGAGCAGGAGAGCATCGAGGCCTGGAGACAGCGATGCAGTATCCAGACGGACCAGCAAATCCGCCTGGTGAAGCTCGCTCATATGCGCTACCAACATCCCGACCTTGATGAGATCACTACTTTCCTTCAGGGTACAGTCCGGCTGCCCGAGCCTCAGACATCTATTTTCTGACAGATCCACGCAGATTTTGGCATGACCGTTGCTAAGAGGACTGATACCAAGGCATGGTTTCGCGGTTATGGACCCGATGCCTTCGTCTACTATGCTCAAAAGGGCCCGAAGGAGTTTCTTGGAGGGGCTTACCAAGTCGAGTCCTATCAGGACCTGGAGAGGTGAATTCTCCGTCTGTGAAGCTATGGTATCGGGTGAAACTAACCTGGTTACCCAGAGCAACGCATTTACCGACAGCTAGCAAAATCCAGGAGCTTACAGATGCCCCAGGGGGTGGCTACCTTGTGACCTTGACAGACCCTTCAGGGTTTCCGGTCAATATGATATATGGAGTGCTTCCAGCGGCAACCGGAGCCTATCCTGAAAAGATCACGTACAATTATGAGATCGAGAAGCCGCGTGTCCGGAAGTTCCAGCGATTCAACATCGGGCCTGCTGCAGTTCACAAGGTATGATGCTTTGTCAATGCTTCTTTATATTGATTTGGCAACTGAAACTGACTGTGACGGCAGCTGGGACACTACGGTGTCTGCACTACGAAATTTGCCGCTCTGGTCGACTTCTATACCAAGACCTTCAACATAGTACCCAGCGACTTTCTGCACGTGGGCGAAGGCAGCGAGAAGAAGCAGGTGGCCCTTTTCGCTCATATAGATCGTGGTGAGGATTACGTGGACCATCATTGCTTTTTCATCAGCTCCAATCCAACCGACCACGTTCACCACTGCTCCTTTGAGGTTCATGATTTTGACACGCAGAAACTGGGTCATCAGTGGCTTGCAAAGCAACGGTATACATCTGTTTGGGGGGTTGGACGTCATATTCTTGGATCGCAGATTTTCGACTACTGGTGGGATACGACGGGAAATATGATCGAACACTATGCAGACAGCGATCTGGTAAACAAGAACACGCCCATCAGTTACGGTCCAGCGGGTGACGAGTCCTTGGCCGTTTGGGGGCCGGAAGTGCCGTCTTGGTTTTTGCAATGATATCTCGGAGCCTTAGAAGATCACTATTGTTATATTACTTGAATGTAAAATTGCTTGGTCTTTTTTCTATTTTGCTTATTCTACTATGTCTACACGTAAGAGGGAGGATCATGATTTCCGAAGCCTGCCTCAATTCGACATGAGTATTTCCCGTGGTATGATTATTGAAGCTAAGTTTTCCTATCTCAATAGACTCTAGCCTTATACGGTATAGAATATATGATCACAAGGTTTCAATCCGGGTGTCTCTGTGCAGTCTCGGCCCTTGTCATGGCTGTTTGTAATAGGGGGTTAGGGTTTGTGGCGGGGCAGCAAATGGTGGGACACGCGGCGGGACATGTGGGGTGATGGTGGGACAAGGCTGCTTTTGCAATGGATAATATTTATCTCCGCATTTTCTTCAGTTGCGCCTGGGGGCTTCTAGGGATATGTGGAACAAGTCGCAATATCTCGACAAGATAGTAGTCGGTCCCGCCGGCTCCTCCAACCTCCACCTCTCCGGCTCGTCCCTCTTGGGACTGCCCACTACGGGACTACTACGTTTTAAAATATTTCAGAGACCTGAAGCATGCGCTCTTGGTTTGTACATCTTCACTGAGAATCTTGAATCTTTAGTACACTGCTGCTATTATCAAAATGCCTTCCTGGACACATTTGATTCGCTTCATTGCCGTGGAAGATAGCCAAGATCATCTTGGTCAGCTGGTTGATGCCACGCGAGATGTTGGCCGAGACATCATCGATGGCAGGCAGGTTGCAGCCTATGTGATCGAGGGCACCATCTTCGATGGCCGTGTCACTGAGGAGATTTTGCATGTGCAGCAGGTAAGTCAATTCACTTGTTAATTTTTCAATTCCTTCTCATCCACTAACAATATCTATTATAGTTGCTTTCCCCTGTCTCTCGAGAAGAATGCAACTACATCCGCTGTTTAGGTCTCAATTACATCGACCATGCACAGGTATGATTAAGCAAGGCATATATACATATAACTTTACTTTTCAATCGAAGCCGCACGCTCACATACCCTCTTTCAACGAATAGGAAGCCAATCTCCCACTTCCTAAAGCTCCTATCCTTTTCACGAAACCGCGCACCGCCTTAAGCGGCCCTTACCCAGCCGCCGTCAACGTTCCAAAATGTGCTCAGGACGGCACCAGCGACTACGAGGCAGAGCTCTGCCTTATCATCGGCAAGTCCGGCAGGGATATCTCCGAAGCGGACGCATTGGACTATGTGCTCGGGTACACAGCATCAAACGACGTGTCAGCACGGACGCTGCAGCTTCTCACTACGCAGTGGTCCTTTTCCAAGGGGCTCGACGGAAGCTGTCCCATCGGTAAGCTACAGAAATACATACTGGGACATATAGAACGGACGTTAAAGGATCTTTGCTAACGGTTGGTGTTTTCGGTAGGACCTGTTCTTGTGGCCCCCTCGGTCATCTCCGATCCCCAGACACTTGGCATCCAAGCAATCCACAACGGCAATGTAGTTCAGGATGGACATACAAAGGATATGATTTTTAACATCCGGAAACAGATCTCCTACTTGTCCCAGGGAACTACTCTGGAGGCTGGAACTATCTTCCTGACTGGTACACCGGCAGGAATCGGTTACTTCAGACAGCCCCGGGTGGTCCTCGGTGATGGCGACGAGATCTCGGTTAAGATTGACAAGATTGGAACCTTGATCAATAAGGTCAGATATGAAAAACGGTGATTGGATTGGTAAATTGGCAGATTCTCATTGATGGGAACAAGCAAGCGCAGTATTCCTGATAGTGCAAATTTTGAAAGTATGATAGAAAGATATCTTTATTCTATGCAAAAACTTGATTTTCACTGTGTAGTTTTCTACACCAAAGAAGTAGCAGCCAGGTCTTCATATCTTTACCATTGATATTAATCTCATATTGCCATGTACATAGCCCCATATTAAAATGTGGAGACGAGCTACAGAAAGGAAGCCGCTGTTTCCATACCGGGTCTTACATGCTCATCCTAGGCATATATGCTGGCATTGCCATGATAAAGATCTAGTCTTGATTAGGTTAAGTGAGACTGCACCTCATCGGCCGCTGCTATTCCCAGTATTTATAAGATTGACATGCTATAGATTAACTGGACATGCGCTGAGGGATCAAGGTCATGCCATTGTGAACATAAAAGCCATAAACTGTTCTGGAGATTGATTGGACGGTTGATATTTCTGGTTATAGCAACTAGACTAGATATCGCCTTTGCAATTGCAGCGAATCAGTTGTCTCAATATCTTGCTGAACCTCACTAAATTCACCTCAAAGCAGCCAAACACATACTCTGATATATCAAGGGAACTATCACCTTTGGATTGACGTTCAGTGCGAAGGGGAGACAGATAGGATTGAGTGCGTATGCAGATTCTGCATATGCCAATTCAGCAAAGAGCCGGTTGACCACTCGTTTTATATTTATGATCAATGGAACTCTGATTACCTGGACAAGCTGGAAGCAGTTGATTACTGTGCAGAGTACAACAGAGGCTGAGTATATGGTAGTTTCAGAGGCCACCAAACAAGCAATTTGGATCCACCACTTCCTATACACCATTGGAAGAGTATTGACTAGGCTGACGATCATATATGAAGACAACCAGGGTGCCATCATCACCTAGCTGATAATCCTGTTGACCACCCAAAGACGAAGCACATAGCTGTTCACTACCATGCTATTCAGGGCCATATAGGCAATGGAGAGATTCATCTTGAGCATCTGCCTACTGACAAGATGATCGCCGATGCTCTAACGAAGGCTACTCATCATGATGCCCATACACGATTTCTTTATAGCGTGGGCATGGATTGATTGGGGTGAGGAAGAGAAATTCAACATACAGAAGTTGAAGTGTGCGTCCAACCGCTGCCTATCAAATTGCCAGATTGTTATTGCTTTATTAGATAGATTGATATTTGCAGCGATTGTACAAAGGGGAGTGATGAAAGTCAAGGTGGATTAATAGTTGGTCTGATTACTGAGGCTGACAGACCCCTCATATACGGACACACACACACACACACACACGCACACACACACTCGGTTTAGATAGACAAGCACTCATTCTATCACCTTTGTGTCTATAGAGATCAAGGTTATCCTCCTTAGTGTAATTAAATTCGTCGCGTATAGCCTCGTGCAGTCCGGATAATCGACTCCCCCGACTTCCCCGATACGGAGTTTTAACCACTGCATTGGTTTATCCGTTTCAGAAAAGATGAATAGCGTCAGAATTTTCTCTAGAAGGACACAAGGCAGAAAAATGAAGGAGAAAAAAGTGATGCTCAAGCGAAACAACAGCCCATTTATGCCAAATAGTCTTTTAGAATACTGTTTGGTTTCGCAACACCATGCTCACACACTCATCACCCCAACGCTCACCCTTGACTCTAAAGGCATCACCCCAATCACTTGCACCCAACTAGTGCTCACCCGGTCATTAATCTTAGTAGCAACAAAAAAGAAGCAAAAACATACAACAGCCGGGATTCGCTGGTGGTCACCCACCCAACTACTAACCGGCCGGCGTGTGGCTTAAGTACGGCTGAGCGGACGGGAAGCCCTGTTCTCCACACCCTATGGTCGTATGTAGTAGTCTTTTTATTGAAGAAAAATATATCGGTCGTCCAATTCGAGTTGGTTAGGGAGTTCATCTTTAAGCTGGCTGTCCTTGGAGGTTCAATACCCATGAGGAGTATCGGGGTAAATTCCCCACAGAAGCCCCCCCCCCTTCAGACTTTACAAGATTGGAGGACATTGAACAGAGTCATAATTCTACCAGTGACGTCCTCGGTCAGGTGAGTGCTTTAAGAATGCTAGATAAATGCATATCTCTCACAGGTTCATGTCTCTACTCACTACTATACTATGAGCATGAATATCACGCAAAATATCATCTATTGTTATCCCCAAGCTACAGCCCCAGGATTTAATAATGCCATTAGGCCTTGTTGCTGGAGAATGGCGAGAAGCTCCTGGGATGAAAGACTTTCCTGTCAATGAGCCATCAAGTGATACTATGTTGTGCCACTGTGCCGACCTGGGTAGAATGATGATCATGGCATCGTATGACCATAGATATCAACGGGACTATCTTAGTTTCTCGGCATGCTGTTTTTTTTTTTTTTTTTTTTTTGGTGGGATAAACGTGTGATGGTTGCCCGTGAGCAATAGTTCCGAAGTAGGATTCTGGAGGTGCAGTCGAGAATTTGAATGGAAGCGTAATACCTAAAGCCGATTATGCATTCCGCTGACAACTTATTTCCACTGTATCCAATCATGAATAGCTGAAGCTTTGTTTCATAACGCTAATGCAGTCTGCTTACTAGGCCCACATTTCTAGAGAGCTATACCTACAGTGAGTGACCTCAAAGTGGGTGGAGTTGATGACGCCCCACTTGGAGAATGTTCGGAGTTAAGATTCTATGCATCGACAGCATAGTACAGCTCCCTCTTCCCACTTATGTCCTTTATAGATTCATCATAGATTTCAGAAACCGTATCAAGCGACACAAGATGGCAGGCGAGAATGTGCTCATTTTTGGGGGCAACGGAAGAATTGCTCGATCCATGGCCAGTTTGATGCTGGCCCGTTCATGGAAGGTCACAAGTGTCATCAGAAACGTCAAACAAAAAGACAGTATCCTGCAACTAGGCGAGAACCAGCCTGGGAAGATCAATGTGCTGAGCATGGATATGCAAAATATCAGGAATCCAGCCGATGTATCAAGGATTCTTGAGACTGTCAAACCGACTTGTGTTGTCTTTGCAGCAGGTATGGCAACTCGCAATTTTCCAAACAGTAAATCCCTAACCAGCATTAACTGTGTTGAACCAGGCTCATTCCAGAACGTCTACGCCATCGATCGCGATGCAGCCCAGCGAATAATAAAAGCCTCCACCGATGCCCCATTCATCGCCAAATTCTTGATGCTTTCCTTTCCTTCGTCGCGCAAAAGCGCGGCCCCATGGTGGGGGGAAAGCGATATTCAAAACTGGCAGCAAGAAATAAACTCCTATCCCGATATAGCCGAGGCCAAGATTCAAGCGGATGAGTATCTGGTTGCCATGAGCAAGGCGCGAGAATCCTCTTCTGGCTCGCCCTTTCAAGCAATCAGCTTGCGGCCAAGTTGGCTTCGTACAGGACCACCTATGGGGCGAGTGAAATTGGGCAAGACTCCTGCGTTGGGCCAGGTAAATATCGCCGATGTTGCGGCGGTAGGAGTGAGTCTCCTGGCACGGAACGACACAAGTGGCTGGTACGATCTAGTTCAAGGTTCCGATATCGTGGAAAATGCAGTAGACATGTGCGTGAAAAATGAGGTCAACTGTATTGAAGGGGAGGATCTTGATCGTAACTTTGCATTTGGAGATTAGCGTCTTTTATAGTTTCGAGCGGTGCATACTTGATTGACATATTTCCTCTTCTATTGAAATCTCAGAATCAATATCCCTGGACATGCGCTTGGATCCGTATGTAACTGGATCATAGTTTGCTAACCCGCAATTTTCTCAGGGCTTATAAGTTTGATAGAATACCCCCAGTCACCTTGCCTTAATTCCGGATGCCACTAAATTTACCTTCTATAAATCGAGAATTATTGCTAGTCCTTTTTATCCCTTGCAATCGAAACCATTACCATTCTCAAATATATCTAACGCAACCATTCGATCAGCGAACATGGTCAAGACACTCCCCTTCGGCGACATCCAAATCTCGTCGCCAGGCTTCGGTGCAATGGGTCTTAGCTTTAGCTTGGGTACCAATCTTAGCCTCGAGGAAGCCGAACGGGTACTGCTAAAGGCAATCGAGCTCGGATGCATATTCCGGGCTACTGCTGTGAGTTGCGAATTGATGGCTGCAGAGGATTGATGGCTACAGAGGAATTAGACCGCAGAATCTGACTCTAGAAATGCAGGTCGTCTACCAAGCCGGTGTAAACGAGAAGCTTCTGGGAGATTTCTTCAGAAAGCACAACGCTCGTGACAAGATCTTCAGTGAGTTACTGCGCACTCAATTTGTGGTCCTTACTTTTGGTTGACCATCGTCATCGACAGTCGCCTCGAAGTGTGGATTCAACATCATTGGAGGGGATGGTTCGGTCACCAATTCTGCTTCGCATATCAAGGAGTATATCGAAGGCACCATTGAGAGAGTTGAATTTACTCCTGATCTTTACTATCTCCACCGGATAGATCCCAGTACGTCCGATCGCCTTAATGTTCATGTCCACTTCGCTAATTTCTATACATACCTCTCACGGAGTCAATCCCCGCCCTTGATGAGATTCGCAAAGCAGGCAAAACGAAGTACATTGGCCTTTCGGAATGCTCCGCTGCTACATTCCGCAAGGCTAATTCAAGTAATATTTATTACTCTTATCCATCTGGCAAGTATCCACTGACAGACCGTAAACAGTTGCCAAGATTGATGCCGGCCACTCTGCCCGCTGGGCGTCTGAGCTCCGAGGCAGCAGTTCGCTGAGCACGGATGGGTGAGTATTGGGCCTATGTCCTATACTCTCCCTCTGGCTCTGCTCCGTGACAATTTCCACTTTCTATAGGGTCATTCTGTTACGGGGTTGTCATACGATCCCGTACAAACCCTCAGTACATGACTTGGCACTACAGCCTGCGTGGTATGCAAGGGAAAGGCATGGACGAACCATATTAGACTTCGCCGAGACCCTCCACCCTCCCCTCGACCCTCGCCAAACCTCGTGTGGGTGACCCTCGCAGACCCTCATCGACCCTCATTTTCATAAAATCTCATAAAATCTCATAAAATTCCACGCTTTACCTGATTTGTATGCATAAAAAATGATGATCCATCCTAATATAGTACTGTTTGTCTTGTTTGATCACCCGCGGGTGAGGGCGAGGTCTAAACATTGGACCATTCCCTGTTCCTGTTCCTGTTCCTGTTCCTTCTTGTACGTACGGCATCCTTTTAGATTGAGACAATCGAAGTGTGACCCCTAACAGCAAGCTCTTTATTTTCGGCTCTAGAAAGTATTATAGTATAACATATTTCATCCTTTTCAGCCACATGGACTAGGTGATAGGCTGTAAATAAGTAGTATGATGTAATTTTCCAGCTGTGGAGAATGGCTGCCCGCAGCTGAACTTCAGCCGCATTTTCAGCTCAGCTCAGCTCTTGATGTTCTTTTTTAAACCCCCAACAGCCACCTGGTTCTTGGTTTTGGTTGTTTTCCATCAACTTCAATTCTATTGTTCACACCAAAAACACCAAACACCAAAGCAGATATGACCAGCCAGCCTCTCCAACAACCCAACGCTAGTTGGAGCGCTGATCTCCCCAACCGAGAAAGTCCATTGACCGAAAATGACATGCAGCAAATCGCTTCTAATACTGAAGATGGACTGGCCATGATCAAGACAGCCTTGGACAGACAGCAGCTGGGCTTCATTGTCTCCGAGAAAGTGATCAAGGCAGCTGCCTCAAATGAGCGTTATGCGGTTGAAATCCTAGAACTACTGATGGAGAATGGAGGCTCGGATGTTGAAATCACCAAGGATATTGTCTGCGCGGCAGCAGGAAACTCGCTTGCTGCTGTGGGATATCTTTTCCAGCTCCCGGGACGATCCTTTCCCACTCTGGAAAACAGTCTGCTAGCAGCAGTAAGCCATGATGAAGACAACCATGCTGCAAAGATGTGTGCGAACATTGTCAAGCAGTTCCCAGAAGCCCAGATCTCGAGTCGGGTTCTTGAAGCGGCGTGCACGAAATCCAAGGTGATGCAGGTGCTTCTGGATCAATCTTGCGATCATCTACCGATTCAAGAAATCATTCGAAAAATAGCAAGAGGCAACTATGAGGAAGCACAGGTGACGCAGCTTCTTCTTGATCACAAACACTTGGTTGTGGATGAGTGGGCGATGGAAACGCTTTCTTCGAATGGTTCGGCTTTCGAAATCATTATTACATCGCAGCCAGACGCACCGGTCACTCACAATGTCCTTCTACAAGCGGCAAGCAACGATGAATCAATGGACAAACTGCTGCAAAATCGACTGGATGACGTGGTTATCACAGAGGAGGTTATGATCGTTGCAGCCAAGTCAGATTATACTGTGGCTGCTATCCTCCAAAACACACAATCAGTTCCAATTACCAAGAAGGTTTTCAAAGAGGCTGCATTTCATGAACAACCCGATTCACTTGGTGCCTTCCTTTCATTACAACCTGATCTGGACCCGCTAGCGATTTGGGACGAAATTTGGCAGGATGTTGTCATCAGTGCAGAGAAAAAATACCGCGCGACAAGGGCTATTTTCCATAATACTGATTTGGAAGTAACAGCTTCCAAGCTGCAAAGCTATCCGTATGATCCGGAGCAGAAAAACAACTATGGCCTTGACGATGTGGTTATGGAAATTGCGGAGGATGACCGGATCTTACCCATAACCGAAGAAACGACAGAAATCATTCTGGAGAGATGTCGTAATAAAGCTATTAAAGAGATTCTGGAGTACGAACCAGACATGCTGATTACTCCCAAATTGTTTCAAGCGGCGGAGAGGAACCTAATTGCGGATAAAGAGTCTTTGCTATCGTTCCTTGCTGAGAAAAGAGGTTGATCATGGGTGACGAGCTATGGAGATTATGATAGAAAAATGACCAGTATTACATCAAAGATAGAAAAAGAGGGCACATTTTTTTTTACTATGCCCGAGTTTCACCCGTGTGTGAGATAAGTAGAAGATCATGCAACGATCTAGAAAATAGTGTATCTAGGAAGCTATAGAGGCTAATGCAAGTTGCTTACTAGGGGTGTTGACGATATCTGCCATCTTCGTTCTACGGTTTGTCGACTGCGAATACCAGGCCGACAATGAGGAAGAGGAACAGTAGGAACCGGGGAGCCATCATAGTGGCTGATAGCGCCCAATGTATAAAGTTTATACTAAATATCAATCAAATACCTTGATAAATAGAACAAAAAAGTCAATATTTGATCTATACCAATGCTATTCAAGACGAAATACACACAATACTTATAATTTCTTCCCCTTACTATAGCCACATAGTTCTGTAAGACGAAATACTTGCCCTGCAATGGCCCCCAATTTCAAACGGCTCCAAATGCGACCCCAACCCTGGCGATTTCAGCCTCGAGGGCCAATCCCCGTAAGCCTACCCCGGACATAGCGTAATACACCCATGAGCATGATATCTTTATGGGGCCAAGCAAGGTTGACAATTGCTGCTGCTTTCTATAAATTGTTAGTCACTAGTTCTCTGGTCGAAGGCATTGCCTATCATAATTGCATATCAGCGTGGCACTGCTGCTTGCATGCATGGTGTCTGATTCAGGTGACAAGAATAGTCGATCCAGTATTCTTACTAACCTCTATGAACGAATCTGTGATAATTCGCCGCAACATCTGCCATGGTGGGTGAAATTGGGCCTGAAGATTTTTGGTCAGATCCAAGACGCCTGGAGTATATATTGGTCTCCTGATCATAAAAAGACAACGATCAGGGGCTTGCATCTATCACACGGTCTGAGCGGGCCTGGGCCTTGAGCACTCAAGTCCGTGGTATGATGATGCATTCTATTCTATACCTTTTTGAACGAATTCCAGGCTTCTGAGTCAGCGGCATGGGAGGACCCCAACCACCTCAGAACCTTGATCTCTAACTCTCACTCATCGACTCATATCAGAGCCTGACTCGAGGCAAATACCTTTGAGTCACTCTTAAGAAGATCCAGGATTAACTGATCTAATTTTGTCGCAGCTGCATGAGCATGATATCCCCAATTTTGCGCTGCATAATTGTAAAGTGGATTTTGTTGTAGTCGCGCTTCAAACTCCTCATCAGTCAGACAGGGACCGCTTTCAAAGGTGTAGTTGAATGAGAGATATGTAACACAAATAATGGTGAAGTTTGATTCTGCATCAGGGAACCAATATTTCTTCCTTGCTTCAAAGTAGTCCTGTGTCATGTAGTGGACTAAATGGATGATGCTGCTTTCTTCATCAACCACAACCAATCCAGCACATACTGAGACCATGTCATCAACCTGTGGAATGTTCTCTTTGTCAAGTTTTGGTACTCCTTGTTCCACTGCAAGTGCGTGCTGAAGTTCTGAAGTAGTAAGCTGTCTCTTGGTGCAGGTGATCCACAGCAAAACGCCCATTGCAAGGTCCAAGGCATCTCCATCTTGCCCTTTGATTCGCCCCATAGCATCCTCATACACCTCAGTATATGATTCAGGCCCCGCTGGAAGGTTTTTTAAAGTTTCCTTGATCTTCTTGAGTCTCTTCTTTGTTTTTATTGAGTCAAAGTGAAGCTGTGCAAGAAACCTAGGCTAATGGTCAGTTTCTCCAGTCTAGTTGAGTAAATGATTTGAGAGTTGATAGACATTCCATCTACAGCCTCTGTAATCCTACCCTTGATGTGACGGTCCCGAGCAATATGAGTATATTGGTAGATTATCTGACAAAATTCTAACATGAGGAGAGAAAAGGAAAGAGGCAGGCCTGCCGGCGACGAGCTATCTAATGTGTGTGAAGGGTTTAAGCGAGGCTCAGTGACTGTCCATGCTCAGTGAATGTCTATGCTCCGTGACACTTGATCTCTTCCTCATGTTCTTTCAAGAATTTTGATTCAGCTTGTGAAATGCAGCCTTCCAAATGCTTTCACACATCACTTTCATGAGCACGAATCTCTAAAGTGATATCATTGAATTTCTCAGTAATCTCTGGTATTGGCCTAGCAGTGGCAAAGATGTTTACTGAGAACTTTTTCTGAAGGTCAAAAAGCTGGGACAGGAACACCCTTCAGCAGCTGTCTGATGCCTGGTATTCATCAAGTGCGTCAACAACAAAGAAGACTCTTGAATATGTTACCATCACAAGTTGGAGAGCTGTTGACAATTCATCTAGCAATGGCCGTGTCCATCTATCCTTATGTCGTTTGTAAAGTTCTTTCATGCATTCTGGTAAAGATTGACACTGGGATAGTTGTTTGAGTATACTCGCTAGTAGTTCTTCAGCCTTCTGGTCATCTTTCCGCCGGAAATTGCAGTAGATGTATGCAAGACCAATGGTTTGGTTAGTAGAGCACTACATTGTGAGGTCATTAATCACAACTGCAGTGAGAATTGTCTTCCCAGCTCCAGGAATGCCTGTACAGAACAGCGTCTGTTTGTCAGACTTTAGCCAGTCCTGATATTCAGCAGATTCTAGAAGCCATTGACCAGTTCCTAGTTGTCGCCTCTTGATATAGTCACTCTGCTGAGGGCCATAGTCAGTTTGAGTCAGCCAGTCAAGTAGTTACTTCATGGTCTTCCTTTCTAGTGAACTTTAAATTCATTGTTTCAACATTTAGTCCAGTTCTGGACACAGTTTCATGAACTATATCTATTATCAGGATGGTGACTTCACATCAATTCAGTGGCTGAAGAATGACTAACACACATGAAGAAGCTCACTGATCCTCCTTTCAGCTTCAACCCTGTTCGGAGCAATTCAATAAAGAAGATCTCTCGCATATGCTGCCGCCGTCATGGCTGCATATCCTTGCCAGTCCTTATTCTTATGGGAGTCCGAGTAGTCGCATATACCACAAATAACCAGACAGGGAAAGTGGTTCATCAGCCCCGCTGCTTCCATCTCAAAGCACAGAACATCCTTCTCTGCAGCAAGTCTATCCCGAATTGAAGCATCCTTCATCAACTGGTTCGCCGAAGCAATCAGGTCATAGTGAATTGCTGGATTATCTTCATGCGCGGCAACATACTCCGTACTTATGGCGCAGATCCAGCCAACGGTGTAGTCCTTAGGGTCAGACATAACTTATTGGCAGAGTATTATGGAGAAAGAACAAGATTTGAAATACTCTGGAGGACGAATTTAAGCGCAGGTATTTAATGAAGTCAGTTACATTTGTTTTCTGTGAAGTTCCATGGCCTCAGATTGCCCAGAATGAGATCAAGTGCTCAGTATCTTTCACAGAGCAAGAAAATTGGCCTTCACTCAAAGAAAAGCTTTGGAAATCGACTATAAGAAGGTAACGCGAGGATGGAGTAAGTCAAAAACATCACGACTAAATTCAGCTGCACGAGCTGAATCCAGTGCGGTGTTGGGCACCTTAGCACAGCCGCCCACCACTCTGCCACATCATCATGCATAAGGCTCCATGGAATCGAATGTCTAATAGTCGAAAATTTGAAAATGATTGTCGTATATGATCGAACTACAGTATGTCTTAGCCGTTTAAACAAGGTATATTGCTTACCTTAATATGGATATGTGACGCACTAGCATCGGTGTAGACTTCCTTTACAGCAACTTTGCATGGCTGGCGTCTGCGGCTGTGTACATAGCACGACAATCAACAAATAGACGGAAGAGGGGTGTCGGGTCGGCGGAACATGCTGTCTGCAGGCTCGGGTAACCTGCTCACCCCTATTCTACAGAACACGATCGCCGTGCAGCCAGGGTAATTAATGTTTGAGATGGTTCTCGGTCGTCCCAGGACACATGTCGAGCAGGAGAGGCATGGTCATGATTCATAACACTACGGCCTACGCGCTGGAAGGTATGAGAGTGATTATTGTCTTTGTTTTGGTACGGCCGCTTTCATTGATTCGGGCGACTGCAAGGACGATGCCACCCTAGGTAGCATGGGCTTTCTTTTCGTTCCGCTCAAGATCTAACATACAACGTGCGATATCCAAAACGGTCTCTTCAAGACTTCGGAACTCCACTCCTAAAAATTGTTTCACTTTGGAATTATCTATGGAATATGCCCCTGCCGGTAAGGAGCGTGTCCCTGGTTTCCCAAGCGGTGTGCGTTCACTCAGTTCGGGGAAGTGTGATCGGAGAATATCGCAAACATCCTGGAAGTCAAATTGCCTGGCGCACACCACAAACCGTTGGTTGCCGGCCTCTGGGACAATCATGGCTCTGAATTGGGCATCTGCAAGATCCTACAGAAGGTTGGTTAGATCAAAACCAGTGTCAAGCTGGGCGACTTACTCGGACGTCGACGTAAGTGTGTACCGGCATGTACGGCACGGGAGCATCCTTGGTCGAGTTGAAGCAAAGTTTCCACAACCGAGAATTAGATTCGTTCAGGTCCCGGATGCTTGTGACGGAGTGCCGCAAAGGACCAAAAGTCGCCGGCGGAGATAACGTGACCAAGTCAAAAGGTGGCTGTTCTTCCTTCATAAACTTCCATGCTGCGTAGAGAACACCGTCTTAGTACCGCCTCTGCTAACAGCAAGCAGAACAATCGACGTACCTTCTCGTTCGGCAAAAAGCTTACTGGCCCTGTATGCTTTCGACGGATCCCCGTGCACTGCCTCTTCCCATGTAACTGGATTCCAGTCCGCTTCCGTATAAAGCCTTGCTGGGTCCGAGACAAGGTTGTCGTAGTCAATCACGCTGGCGCAGCTACCGGTCCAAATGACTCTTCTCACGCTCGGGGCATTGTCTTTCACGGCTTTGAGCAGGTTCAACGTCCCCTTGATCGCCGGCTCGAGGAACTGAAGATTGCTCCCCACGTTCGTGTACGTGAACGGGGATGCCGTATGATAGATGGTCTCAAAAGGGAGGGGGGTCCCCTGTACCGCCGTGTGGTAGGCTCCGGGTGCGACGATATCGGGGACGATTGTGATAGATATCTGAGATTTCTGCGCGGCGAAGTCCCTCAAAATCTTGTCGCCTTTTTCTTGTGTTCTAACAGCACAGCAGACAGTGCAGCCATGGTCAAGAAGCTGGGTTAGGATGTGGGATCCAATGAAGCCGTTGCCCCCGGTGAGAAGGACGCGACGGGCCATTGTCAGTGTTGGGACAAGTGGGCTAATGGGTTCGCCTGTAGAAATATGTAGAGGGCAAAGTGAGGCCGAGGTTGGAGGGCGAGAAATGAAAATGGCTTATCTAGGGTTCAAGGCGGGCGGGGTCTGCGCTGGACAGCCCCTCATGCTCCACTACTCCGGTCCAATGTGCAGACGGAGTTACTCACTGTTACCTCCGGTCCTATGTGCGGACGGAGTTACTCACTGTTACCTCCGGTCCAATGTGCCACCGAGTAGGTACTCTCTGTGGGCTGCGGTTAACGCCAAGGGTGGATATTATTATGGGGCTGTGGCTCTGAGTCCTGCATCCTATTGATGGTTCACGCAAGGAAGGCGGCGCCGGCTCTGAGTTGGGCAGCTCCACAGTTTCCACTACTACTGGCTAGGGAGTATATACTCGTTGTTAGCTGGGTTAACGCCAAAAGGAGATGGTATGTTTGTGGCGCTGCGGCTGAGGGTCACTCTTGTTATGGACCGACCGGGATGCGTGTTTAAACTTTGCCCACAGAGAGCGTGTACCTACTTTTGCTGACTCTCGAGGCCTAGAGGTGCACCCCGACGAGGACCGGCCACACAGCAACGCAGCAAACATGAACCAACCTGGAAAGTCGGCGTCCGATCGCATACAACTTTTGACACTGTAATCATCGGCTCGTCCCCCACTAGACATACATGGGATCAAGTGGGTGTTCGCTGGTAAGTTCCGATAGGATCCTCGTGTTCCATAGCTCCCACGTTGGATGTGGTCCCTGATAATACGCCTCGTAGTGACGGCCATATTGTCCAGCCTGTTCTTATTCACGCTGGATCAGACGATTGTCGCTGATGTTCAGCCAAACATCATCGCCGAGTTTGGTTCGATCAATAAATTGCCTTGGCTCTCGGTGTCATTTCTTCTCGGAACTGCGAGCACGAATCTGCTCTGGTAAGCCTTTGCACCGATTCGACCCGGTGCAGCCAAGTTCCCTCAAGCTAACTATGAACTTATATGTGTAGGGGACGGATCTATAGCCAATTTAATCCCAAATGGATCTATATGCTCTGCGTAGCGATGTTCGAGATCGGTTCGACCGTCTGCGGGGCCGCGCCCAACATGAATGCACTCATTATCGGACGTGCTCTGGGCGGCCTGGGCGGTGGAGGAATGGACTTGGGCGTGATGCTGATGCTGTCCCTGTTCATGACGCCTCTGGAACGACCGAAGTATATCGGCATCATCGGGGTGATATTCGGTTTTGGCACCGTGTGAGTGCTCTTCTCGGCGAGTGGGGAGGAGACCAAATCCGATTACTGACCATGGCATCTGTGCTCCAGCCTCAGACCGGTCATTGGAGGCGCCTTTTCAATTTTATACACCCAGAATCGCAGCGTCAGTCACATACAACGGGGACCCCCCCTTATAGAGCTGCTACTCTAATACAATTACTTCGAAGTAGCTTAACGGTTTTCAAAAACGGAGTCACGCTTTTGCCCTCCAATCACCTACGAAACATCGGACCTACTTTAATCTTGCAAAGTTCCTCGACACATATAGCCAGTAAATGGAATCTAGTGCTCGATATTATTGTAGTTGCCATCCCTGATGTTGATGTTTCTCCTGGACATGGCTACCCGCACTCTTACCACCCTTCACATGGCGTAGGTGGGAGACCCACCTTTCCAGTGTCGTGGGTATCAGAGACAGCCGGTTCTGTGGTCAGATGGAGCGGGTTGAGGTATAATGCCCATGCCAAAAGAAATGCCATAGTATCCAGTACGACCAGAGTGCGCCCATAGAAGTATGCGCCCATGAATTATATATCCAGAGAAAAGCCCCACTCAGATTTGGCAGAAAAACCTGTAGATGTCTATATACAGTCATACCGCACTCGATGAGCTCCAGGGTAGGTAGGTAGATCGCATTAATGCAGAAAGCCCACTTTCCTCCAATAATCCAGAAACCTAGACACCACCTCGCCACTGACAGGCCCGACGTCCCTCGCCATGGTGTTCCTCCGGTAATCTCTCCGTCCGATAGGCTCTCCGCCCGACTAAACATATCGCTTATGCGACAGGCGCAGCCTGTGACACAGCGCATCACTGCATTACTGGATAGACCTTAGGGGTCATTATTGATATACGACGACGACGACGAAGGACACTCAGGCGAGTGCCCCCAACTGAGACTTAGCTAACTAGAACCCTAGGTTACGATACGAGAGAAGCCAGGTTGTGACTGCCATCTCCGAACCCTGATACCGACCGATCCGATTGATCCGTCGACGACGAACCGAACCGACAGCCTGGCCAGGAACCACGCTGATCCCGATCCCTATTATCGACTGCCACGTCGATCGAGCCGAATCGAACAAGCTACGAGAATAGCTGACCTGACGAACCGAACCGAACCGAACGATACCTAGAACCATGGTTAGAGAGCCTGGATCTAGCCGAGCCGGCAAGATGTCCAGCTATCGTCAGTGTTAGTTAGCACTATTGCCGTGAAAATCCTTCACCTTCCCTCTAGCCCGACCAAGTGCCATCCTTCCGGGCGGACTGTGCATCTATATTTCTAGCGTTGTGGTAAAGGTTACAATGGTCTATAGTATACACATATATACTTTTAGCCACAGCTTTTGACCAGCCGTCGGCATTAACAGGGGTCCTTTTTTTTTTTTTTTTTTTTTTTTTTTTTTCACCGAAAGCGCCTATAGCAAATATCTCGCTGTTATTGGTATAGGAACGTCTAGTACTCTCCGCGCTGGACGCTCACTCCTCCTTGCCCTGCACCCTACGAGGCGGAATAAGGTGGCTGATATCGCCCATGGGAAGCTGGATGGGGAATTCCACAGAAGCCAGCATGAGGAAGGTAAAAATATACCAACCCAGCAGGTCGGTGACGAAGAAGACGGCTCCGGCGGTCTTTCCGACCAGTCTGTTAGCGGGGTCGAGAAAGAAAGAAAGAAAGGCAACTACTAGTGGGGGTAGGTACACGTACAATCTGGAGACCATGGGCCAGCTCCATGTTCCGCTGGGCGAGCTGCCAATATGAACCAGCGAGCAGGCAGAACCCGGTCAAGATGGTTGCGAACAGAGTCACGTACATGACGTTCGTGCGTAGCGAGCAGATCATGAAGATAAACGTCGGCACGCCCATGAAGACCAGCGCAAACGCTGTCGATTCCCATCAGTCACGGGTTACAACAGTGTAGTAGATCCGGTCGAGACGGAGCTTACCGAACGAGGCGTGGAATCCGGGGTTCGCGGGGTCTTCCGGCTGGTAGGCCTCGGCCGCGTTATACATCGGGGTCAGGGTGATTGCCTGGGCAATCCAAAAACCACCTGTTTCGGTTCAGCGGACGGAGAACATGGAGGAGGGATCGTGGTAGGGACAGGTTCATACCGTAGGTGCCGAAGGAAACGCCCGTAAATGTGTTGCCGATGATAAACTCGAGGATGCAGGCGATAATCATGAGCACGCCGCCCATGCCGTACCAAACGCCACTGAATCGGAAATTGTTAGACTACTAGATCTACGGCAGGCCAGGAAGATAGAGTGTGAAGGGGGATACTTACACCTGCGACGCACTCGTGCCGGCGACGCCTCTCCACTCCATCAACTGGCAACACAACGGGCCTAGCGAGATTGAGAAACCGAGCAGTCCGCTGTATTGGTGGGCAGGGGGTTAGCATCGTAATCGCTCTCGCCAGGTTTCGGCCCGGGAGCTCAGTACACTCACAGTGCGGACGGGTTGCCAATCACACCGCGCAGACTGGCCTTACTCGGGGTCTGAGGCGTGAGGTACAGTTTCTCGAACAGCTCCGGCGAGATGGAAAGCGTGCCCGCCGTCCTCACCCTCTGCAGAGCGTCTTCGCGGCTCCCAGATAGCCCGAAGTCATTTCCGTTGTTCTCGAGGTCTGACATTTTGACTGGATGGAGATATCGCGATGTCTTGGAATCAACAGCCTGCGTGAAAAGTCGACAACAATGTTGGAATCCGGGAGGGACCCGCGACTACTAATAAGTAGTAGTACGTCCTGGTCGCTCAACCGGCATTTTCATTATTGGTCCAATGGTGGGGAAATTGGGGGTATTCCGGAGTAAGTCGAACGGTACCTCGACCGCATGGAGTGGACTGGGATGTCCCAGATTAGGAATTTCGCTGACCTGCTGTGGGCTTCGCGCGAAATCCCCACGAACTCCACACTGGCAAACACCCGGAAGTGCGGGGGAACAGTCGGTAACGATCTGATATTTAGCAATAGCCGAGCTAATCTGCTCGATTTTAAGAAAATACCACGGTAAATTGACATTTCGGGGGTGTTGTCCGGGGGCGAATCGACCTGTTATGGAAAATGCGGGGGAAAAGGTGGAGACGGCTAGTTTTCCCCGTCAGGACTCAGGAGTGCGACCTGGATCTCCACTCTGGGACCCATTTGAAATCCAGCAGGCCGAGTCGGTCCAGAGGCCCTATGTGCCACACCTGGAGAACACACTTCATTATGCACCAGAAAATAAATCTACTTAAGTATATAGTGAAGAAATGACTACTATAGAACCAACTGCCAACAGTGTGGATATCCAAGATGGCAGTAGGCACAGGAATTGCCCACACAAATTGAAGCTTGTCTTGTGATTGAACAACATCAAAACCTCAGAGCTCATGCTTTGTCTCAAATCATTGATGAATTAAGGCTGTCTATTATTATGTAGGAAGATGTACAGTGGCTCCCACCTGCTAATGAATTGATAACCTTGCCTAGCGATGAATGATGTTCAGACTTTCTGGCTAAAAAGGAGTAAGGAGGGCTAATATCACAGTTTTCATGGGACGTCATTTCCCACAATGAATCAGACTCTCATGGATAAGCTATTGTCTGAGATAAAGGAGCAAAAGGGGAGGATGCTGATTTCTGGTAAGAACTCCCCTGGCTTTACCGTAGAACAAGGTGGCTAACTACAGGCAGTATCTGCCCACCGTGAAGTACGACATCAATTGTTACGACTGGCGAAAAGGGAGTTGAGCCATGACAGAGCTGTTTGAGCAAGAATTTCAGCCATGGACTGGCAAAAAGTCTTGGTGGTCGTACTTTATTCCATAGATTGTATCATCGGCTCCAGGACAAGAACGATTTCACATAGCTACCCCAAAAGGGTTCGCAGTATCCCTAAAACATAAATAGAGACCCTCTGCCTGTCCTGTTGCCTAACAGTGGCTCATTGGCAACATTCAGCAAAATGGATGAACAGTTAATGAACATGAACAACCAAAAACGTGCCAAGAGTTCACAGTAGGAGATATCATTTGCTAAAACAATCGCATTCGACGTTGTATAATTGTAACTACATCTGCTAAAATGGATTTCGTCCCTAGGTGCCGCAGGTGCTCCACGTCTGCTTTCCACGGTCCTTAGAAAATGAGAACAGTGGTTACAGCGCTTGCACTAGCGCCGCATGGAGATCTCGACTGAGCGGTACCTCTTGTTAGCTACCAAAGAAACCGACCAGGTCAGCCGATAGTCGCCTTCAGATAGAAATATGGCGGCGCCCTTCGGAACATGCAAAGCACGGTGGGGCAATTGATCCTTGATTTTGATGAGTAAATATACCTTGAATAACCCGGTGTATAACTACGGGCGCCATTTGTAAATGATGGAAGGTGCATGGCCTGGCCTGACCTGATCACATGCCAAAAGCTCGCTATTTTCTTGGGGATAGACAGGATAGACATTGTCTGAGTTCAATTGGGTCGAACAGTTGTTACTACAACACTTCGAAAATCTTCCCAGACCACCACCGCCTTTTTCTATGTATCCTCAAGCATCCTCATGATGGACTGGTTCTTGTTGAACCAGTCCCAAAGTTGAGCTCCCGAGAGATCCATCTCCATGTCTACATCCCCAAATGCTGTGTTTTGCAACGCCGTAGGCCCGACCAGCCCATCCATAAGCCCCATCCCGTCCCCGTTAGCCTCGCCGTGCGACGGTATGTGACCAGGAGCATCTGCAGTATTCGTCGTCCCTGGGTCTCCCACAATTCCTCCAGAGTCCAATTTACCGAGCCCGATCCCGTTCGAGGTCGTGCCGGCAAACGCATCGGCATATTGCTGCTGGGCCATCGACCACGACATCCCCCCTTGCCCACCGTCCGCGCGGGATTTGACCTCGACGTACTTGGCCGCGACGTCGTACAACGCCTTGAAGAGGCGACGTTGCTTGCCGCATGTGCTATGTGCGCGGGAGTTCGATGTAGACTCGAGCGTCTCGACAAGACCTCTCATGTGCTCGAGGTCTGAGGCCTCGGACGTCTCGATGATGTGGCAGAACAGGATGATGAAGGGGATGAACGGAGACTGGGTGATGGTCCTGCATCTCCACGTCAGATTGATCTGGTCGAGGACGGAACGAGGAATCATCGATAACGAACCAGTTGATGTATGTTTCAAGGAACACCGTCTTCCCTCGCGCCTTGGTGATCACGGCGACGCAGCGGTCGTGTTCTTGGAGCGTATCTCTGGCGGCATCGATGCATTCTTGACAAAATGCGGACGTCGATGGCTTCTCCGGGGTGATGCTCCGGTAGATGAGCGTAAGCATGCAAAGGCCGATGACTCGGTCAGAACGTCTTGCTATTTCGTGGTAATCCAGTCCCAGCACTTGCCCTTTGCTCGCCTCGTAATGCTCCTGTGGCCAGTCAGCCGTTGGAGTTGTCTCGAGGGGTGATTTGGGACGAGACAACTTCATGATCCTGGGTAGGTAGCCGGGACAAACTCACGTGGATGTCTTGCGCATGTTGCATGGCAGTTTTCAACTCGGCTACAAGAGCCCGGGCACGAGACGTCCGGATGTGCAGCGGTTGCATGAGGGCTCCTGGACTGTAGATGTCGTCGTATATCCGGCCCTGTATACTCGCCATGTTGATCCAACCGGGGGCCAGTTCGGCCAAGAAAGAACCGCTGGGACGCTCCATGCCAAGACGGGTCAGGGTGATGTCCTGATCTCGGAAGGTCGATGAACGACCTAGGCGTAGCGACAGCATCTTCTCGGTCATGTATATGGTCCAGAACAAGTTCATCTTCTGGGCCATTTCTTCTGGCCGCTCTACGCCTGTAGGCACGTTATGTTGCAAGCCAAGAGCTTGTATCATATGCGAGGCCGAATTGATGAAATTCCACGCGGCAGATGGCTTGCTCTTCTGAAGGCAATACATCGACTAGTAGGTACGGTCAGTCGGAACGGGACCTTTCGATTGGTTCTCGCAAGAACAGGCAAACAGCTTACCGCCATTCCCATCGCATATGCGAAGTCCATATTTGTTGGCTGATGAAAGCGAAGGTTGGCAAGGACAGTCTCGAGGTTCGCCTCGCATATGAAAGCCTGCGCGTTGTAGTCTTGCTTCGTTTCTTCGTCGGTGACGGCTTTGGAGCATTCGCAGAACAGCCAGTAAAGACCGCAATGGACGATGATCAAGTCGGCTTCGGTAGCTGGACCAGGCGATGCGATTTTGATAAAGTAATCGTTGAACTGGGTGGGCTTAATAAAGTCCCCCAACCATAGCGTGGCCACTTGCGGGCATTCCCTGGCCATACGCAAGCACATGAACACCTTGTCGATGGGCGGCAAAGGGAGGTTGCGGGTCGTCGAGCCGGGTGGGATCGCCTTGGCATGAGGATACAGTTTATCGAGCGTATCAGACTGTTGTTTCTCAGAATGAACGGCAGCCCTGAGGCCGTCGAGGACGGCTTCCATCTCGTGCGCGACCTCGGCGTTGGTGGTGTTGTTAATGGCATTCTGTAGAAACCGACTAGCGAAGACGGCGTGAGCGAAAAGCGACGATTCGCCCTCGTACTCCGCTTTGGAAAAGTTGTAGTGCACTTCACGGACGCCCTCGCCGATGGGATTATACGGCAGGGTCCCTTGGTTTGGTGTAGAGCCGAGTGAGGAAGAAAATGGCGTTGGTCCGAACGAGGGGGACGAGCAGCGCTCCTCCTGGTTGATGTTGATAGGGTCTGCAAAGTCGAGGGGTTTAGAGGTTCTACTCTTGGTCGGCTCATGACTCAACTGGCTCATCTTCTGGCTGAGCTCGTCGATTTTCCTCGATATTGCATCCAATTTGGAATCACTTGATGAATCTCAGCATGGTGTTCCGCCTCACTGCCTCACTAGGGTTTGGTAGGCGGTCGGTTATCTTGCAGTTACTTACTATGCGTTCGAGACCATGACCCTCTGCCGCCTTTCTCTAGGCTTGGGGCCGGTTGCGTATGAGCATTGTGTCCCAGCTTTGACACAGTGAGAACACGGGCTCACCCGGTCGCATTTCACCTGGACGAGAAATTAGACACTGATACCCATGTAGGTTCCCGAGGGATGGATGTCTTGTCTTCACCTTGCGCTGGCGGCATCGATGACACTATTTTCGAAGAAGCTAATCAGCCACATGATATGATTTCACATAAGGTAGGTACATCGGTAAGCTCACTGCTAACTTCTCGGTCGTGGCAGAATTCTGTTCTTCGTCTTCCTCAGCCCGCGAGAACGAGACATCCGATTCTTCTTCCATCGAGAGTGAGTGAGCGGGTGCTGGAGCCCGCCGAGACACTGCCGCCCGGTACATGTACGTCGTGTTTTGGTCGGCGTCAATTGGTTCTCCTCGTCCTCCGAAGACCTCACAAGCGAGCGAGGCGTGCAAGGTCAAGAACTTGTGTTAGTGTAGACAGAGGCATCGGAGCCTAGATGGAACGTTGGGATCCGAAGAGATGGTGGCGTCATATGGGCTTTAGAAGGTCTCGGAGCCCCAGCGCACGCGGCCTCCGAGTCTCACTTCGCCATGGGCGCCGTAGTGACGGCGAGGTTTGGCGCTGGGCCTCGGAACTTCGGAGGCTCGGAGGCTCCGCCCTCCGCATCGACTCCCTCTGATGTACTCTGATAGAGGGCCAACATCATGATACCCAGGTTGTTGGGACCGGACGTGGTAGCCTCCAAGCTCCCGAGGCATTAGAAAGCAAAGATGAAAACGCGGGTTCTGTCAAGGCAAAGATTCGGGGATGTCTTCCATTGTAGCCTAAATAGTTTCCTCTTTTTACTCATTTTCTATATATTCATTCCCCTTTCCTAATCACTTTCTTTCATCAGATTGGGCAAGCTCGACATCTTGCGTCAATCTTCCACTCCTTTCTTCCTTTTCTACACCCCAAGACGGAGCGAACAAGATGGCAGCTCCTTTGGACCCTCGAGAGGCCGAGAAAGCTGCCGGAGTAGCCAACGATGCTCAAATCCCAATCAAACCTGAGAAAGAAAATGACGAGTCCGCCGAGAAGAAGAAAGGCACGAATGGTTTTCCGGTAAGTCTGGCCGGAGAGTTGATGGCTGCATCCTCATCGGTACGAGTAGTGGCTGACGAGCTGGGACGATCTATCTTGCAGAGAGTTTTCACTTTCGGCGATACCAAACTCTATGTCCTCGAATGTATTGCTTTCATAGCTGCTATTGCGTCTGGCGTTGCTCTCGCTATGGTCAACCTGGTCATGGGACAGTTCTTGACACTGCTTAGCGACTTCAGCTTCTCCGACGCGAACTCGATGCCTGGCAATTTCATGTCCGCCGTGCGGACGTCGGCGTAAGAGCATTATCCCCCCTTGTTTTGTTTCTAGACGATGGCAAGGGTCATATGCTAATGCAACCAAAGTCTCTACTTCGTTTACATAGGTGTTGCCCGTCTTGTGGCTACCTACATCTACGCCTCTCTCTTCACCTACGTCGCGTATCACTTGACCCGCAACGTCCGACGAAGTTATCTACGGGCTGCCTTCAGCCAAGAAATCACCTACTACGACCGGGGCGCCTCCGGCTCCATATCTCAGCAGTCGACCACGAACGGCAAGCTCATCCAATCTGGCATCGCAGAGAAACTCGGCATCGTCATCCAAGCCATCTCCACCTTCGTGGCAGCATTCGTGATCGCGTTCGTCACACAATGGAAGCTGACTTTAATTCTCATCTTTATGGTGCCAACTCTGCTCATTATGCTCGGCACGGCCGGTGGCATCGATGCCATGATCGAGACCAAGATCTTGCAGGTCTACGCCCAAGCCGGTAGCTATGCCGAGAACGTCCTCGGAGGGGTCCGGACCCTTCAGGCCTTCAGCCTTCGACCGAGGGTGATGGCCAAGTACGACTCTTACCTCCAGGATGCGTACACCCAGGGAATGAAAAAGAATAAGCTTTACGGCATCGTGTTCGGAGGGCAGTATTTCGTCGTCTACGCCGGCATGGGCCTGGCCTTCTGGCAGGGCATCGCCATGCTCGACCGCGGCGAGATTTCCGACCTAGGAACCGTCTTTGTGTCAGTATCCATCCTCTCGCGAGCCAGCAGCCAGACTGCCATTTCATTAGTTATAGAGATCCTGGGACTAACTAAGACGTCAGTGTTCTCTTCTCCGTCATCATGGCTGCGAGTACGGTCATGCAAGTAGCACCGCACATGGTCACCTTCAGCCGCGCGGCAACCGCAGCTTCGGAGCTGTTCGCTCTCATCGATAGGCAATCCGAGATCAACCCCTTCGACGAATCGGGAGACAAACCTGACAAAATTGCCGGCTTCATAGATCTGCACGGTATCAACTTCAGCTATCCTACGCGTCCAGATGTCACCGTCTTAGAGGATTTTACCCTAAGTATCCCCGCAGGCAAGGTCACGGCGTTGGTGGTGAGTAGTCTCTGATCGTATCTGTCATAGAAGCCTCTAGTTAAGCGGGGAAGAAAAAAAAAAAAAGGGATCATCCGGCTCAGGAAAAAGCACGATCATCGGCCTGCTCGAACGGTGGTATAACCCCCGTGCAGGCAGCATCTCCTTGGATGGCAAGGACATCAGTCAGCTCAACCTCAAGTGGCTGCGGACCAACGTCCGTCTAGTTCAACAGGCAAGACACCCAAAGTGCGTACCACATACTTGCAAGACACTTCTCTAACGAGTCCAGGAACCGGTGCTCTTCAACGGCAGCGTGTTCGAGAACATCGCCAATGGCCTTGTCGGCACCCAATGGGAGGCAGCATCGCAAGACGACCAAATGCAGCGCATCCAAGAGGCCGCGAAGCTCGCCTTCGCGCACGACTTCATCCAGAATCTGCCGCAAGGATACCACACGCGCATCGGCGAGAGAGGCGGCCTGCTCTCGGGCGGACAGAAGCAGCGGATCGCCATCGCCCGCAGCGTCATCTCGGAGCCCAAAATCCTACTCCTCGACGAAGCGACCAGCGCGCTCGACCCGCACGCCGAGGGCATCGTCCAGAAGGCCCTCGACAGCGTCTCCGAGAACCGGACAACCATCGTCATAGCGCACAAGCTCGCGACCATCCGCAACGCGGACAACATCGTGGTCATGTCCAAGGGCAAGATCATGGAACATGGGCGTCACGAAGAGCTGGTGTCCAGGAACGGCATCTACGCCACTCTCGTCAGCGCCCAGGACCTCGCACCGGCTAACATCGAGAAGAACCACAGCTCGAGGGGCACAAGCACGTCCGATGAGGTTTCGGAAAAGGGAGACGATCGTGTCGATCGCGTTCAGTCTCTTGCCAGGAGCCGGACGGCCGAGGCGCAACAACTGGCGGCACTAAAGGACCGGGAAGACCACGACTTGTACGAGAAGACGGGCATCATCCGCAGTATTTGGAAACTTCTGAGAGGGACGCCCGATATCTGGCTTTGGTTTGCGGTCACAATAGCCACGTGCATCGGAGGAGGTGAGTGGTCTCGACTGAGAAAGGCTCCCCAGCTCCAGCCCTGGAGAGTATGGCACTGCCGTTACACTTGCTCATCACAATTCCACTCGCAGCCGCCATCAACCCTGGGCAAGCCCTCTTGCTAGGCAATATCATGAGCGTCTTTACTTCTCCAAACATGGTCGCTCGCGGCAACTTCATCTCGTTGATGTTCTTCGTCATGTCGCTCGGCATTCTCGTCGTATACTTCGTCATGGGCTGGTCGACCAATACAATCGCACAGGTGAGAGCTTCCATGTCTTTGGCGCGGGAAGGAAAATCCCGTTCCCAGTCTCGCATCACGATACTGACCCCGAGCGTACCGTATCCTAGGGTCTCAGCAGGAAGATGCGACGGGAAATCTTAGAGTCCTTCCTCCGGCAGGACCTCCGGTTCTTCGACCGGCCCGAGAACACAGTGGGCGCGCTCATCAGCCGGCTCGATTCCTACCCGCAGGCCATCCTGGAGTTGATGGGTTTCACAGTCGCCATCATCCTCATGTCCGTGATCAACATCGTCGCGTCGAGCGTCCTTGCGATCGTTGTGTCCTGGAAACTCGGGCTGGTCGGCGTGTTCGTCGGCCTGCCGTTTATGATGCTAGGCGGTTACGCGCGCGTCAGGCTCGAGACCAAGATGGACGACGAAATGGGCCAGAGGCTGTCGGCGAGCGCTTCGGTGGCTTCGGAGACGGTCATGGCGATCCGCACCGTCTCTTCGCTCGCCATCGAGAACACCGTGCTGAGGAAGTACGTCGACGAGCTCGACCTCGCGATCTCTCAGACGAGCGGGCCCATGTTCCACATGATGACCTGGTTCTCTCTCACGCAGTCCGTCGAGTACTTCGTGCTGGCCTTGGGGTTCTGGTGAGTCTTCGCTTCCTGGTTTTGCGGAGTCATGTGAAGCGACTCGGCTGATTGACTGTGCGAACAGGTGGGGATCGAAGCTGATCAACGACGGGGAAATCAGCTTCCATCAGTTCATCGTGTCGTTTATGGGTGTTTACTTCTCCGGCCAAGCCACCGCGTTGGCTTTCAGTTTCGCCAGCAGTGAGTCCGGGGGAGGCTCCAAGCGCGCTGGGATCGAGTTACTGACAGCTTCCAGGCTTCACCAAGGCGAATCAAGCCGCCAACTACTACTTCTGGCTCGACGGGCTCGACGGGACCATCCGTGAGACTGACGACAACCGCAAAGAGGGACCCGAGCACGGGTGCCGCTCCTACGACTTCCAAGATGTGCAGTTCTCGTACCCCCTGGCGCCGGACAACCGGGTTCTCAAGGGCGTGTCTCTGTCGGTAAGTACCTACGAGATGGGTTCGGGATCGAATCGTGTTTCACTGACACTAATCCTTTTTAGATTCAGCGAGGTGACTTTGTGGCCTTCGTGGGCGCCTCAGGTTGCGGAAAGAGCTCCATGATATCGCTCCTAGAGCGCTTCTACGACCCAACAAGCGGCGCCATCACCATCGACTCGTCTGCGCCCCTGTCGTCCATCAACCCGCTTCTGTACCGCAAGCAGGTGGGCCTGGTGCAACAAGAGCCGACGCTCTTCCCGGGCACGATCCGCGAGAACATTTCGCAGGGCGTGTCGGACCTCAGCGCGACGGAGGCGGCGTCGGACGAGGCGCTGGAGGAGGCATGTCGGGCGGCCAATGCGTGGGACTTCGTGTCATCGCTGCCCGAGGGCCTCGACACGCCGTGCGGGACGAGCGGCAGCCAGCTCTCGGGGGGTCAGCGGCAGCGCATCGCCATCGCCCGGGCGCTGGTGCGCAAACCCAACGTGATCCTGCTCGACGAGGCGACGAGCGCGCTGGACACCGAGTCGGAGAAGCTCGTCCAGGGCGCGCTGTCGGAGACGGCGTCGTCCGGGGACCGGATCACCATCGCGGTGGCGCACCGCCTCTCGACGGTCCGCGACGCTAACTGCATCTTCGTCTTCTACGCAGGCAAGATTGTGGAGGCCGGGACGCACGGCGAGCTGGTTGCGAAGGGGGGCATGTATGCCAAGATGTGCGAGGCCCAGAAGCTGGACGGCGCTGCATGATTCCTTCCTCGGGAGCGTCGGACATTGTTGTGAGAGTTTGTCAACCGAGACTCTGGAGGCCTACCGAGTATGTCGTGGCTTGCGTAAGAGATGCGAGGACAAGGTACCGGGTATTATCACACCACGCCACGTGATGTCACCGGCTGGGATCCTCCTCATTTCACTCGACATCCTACGAGGGAGGTTAGGATCATGACTCTCTGTAATACAGCCAGGGGATGAAGTGGAGAGAACCTTTCTTTATAAGTAGTATAGTATTTAAATATAGAGCAATAGGCCGAATCGGATTCAATTGGGTTGAACATTGAGTTGACCACCCCGGAAATAAGTAAGAACCTTTCCTAAATATTGTTGAAGATAATCGTATACATTGACAGTTTCCAGATGAGAATTCGGTACAGTATGTTACATAAAGCGGTACGACTGGGGTGGGCTGAGGTTTTAGTCGGGTGGCCTCAACTGTAATCTGCTGCTTCTCAGATGGCCGCCGCTCTGTACACATTTCTTCTTCAACGAGTTCTTTTGTACGCTACGTCTGGTTATAGTCTATAGATAGCTGGGCTACAGTCCATGACATCTAGTAGCCTAATGATATAACTTTAGTATATTAAAGTGATGCTACTTATATATAAATACATTAGTATTTCTTATTATTTCACATAGGAAGTGGGTAACAGTGTACTGTCATAACCAGAACATGTATATACTGAAATTAAAAATGGGTGTATGTCAGCGGTATTTATGCTAGTGCGGTTATCTTGCGGCTAGCCATGGCTAACCATAGCCAAACCTGCAAATAACTTAATAACCAAAACCGCAAATTACGGCTGCGGTTAGCAAAGTAGTAACCACCAATGCGGTTTTGCCGCAGTCTACTCCTCACCAGTATGGAGCTGACAGCCGCCCAAACGAAAATTACCCCGACCCACCGCCCAACTTCCCCGAACCCAACATTTTAAGCTTGATCAACCTCACGCCTCACAAGAAATCACATACCACACCACCTGGGCACCCTTGGGACCTTTACACAACACTAAATGCTCTCGTTCCTCGCCAAGCAAATTCCTCGAACAAGAACAGCAAACCTAAACCCGATAATCTTCGACAACGGCCTCTCATCCATCGAATTCAAAGCCCCAGCCGACCGATACCTAGTAGTAAACCGATGGCCACCAGCCTCAAATGCCAGGAACCGAAACATCGCACTCCGGCCTCCATTACACTGGCACCGGCACCAGTCCGAGACATTCCATGTTCTCCAAGGTTTAGCGGAGTTCACATGTAAAGGACAGAAGATCACTAAATCGGTAGGCGAATCGATGACTATACCTGCCCGCGCAATCCACACGTTCTGCAACGCGAGTCCGACGCAGGAATTGGCTGTGGAGTTTGTATTAGAGCCAAAGTGGAAGGAGAGGGATGAGGCTTTTTTTCGTGAGTTACCTTATCTTGCTTCTATTTGATGTTGGGTTTACGTAGTTGATGAGATTCTAGGGAATGTACAGTCCTATCGAGATGACTGTCGAAAGGTGGGCGTGAGCCGCAGTCTTCCTCAGGTGCTTCTGTTTAACTATGTTGGTGGTGTTGTACTCGCTCTGCCAGGGCCGCCTTCTATTGCGAGACCCCTCGGTGTGCTGTTGAATTTCTTTGGGGGCCTGGTTTTGGGGAAATATCTCCTGGGGTATCAGGAGTCCTATCCCGAGTATCATAAGCGAGCTTCGTAACAAGAAGCGCTATTGTTTGAAAATGTTAGATTAGACTCGAGGGCGTATCGAGCGAAAAACAGAATAGTGAAGACATTGATTCTTTGTCTCCTTTAAAACGAACCATAGCTGTCAGTTATTTTCCCTAGTGAAATATAATAACAGGTTACAGGTCGGGTGTAGTAGTGTGTGTGTGTGTGTGTGTCTATTTTACGTCGAGGTTCGGGCCTTTCCACGCATCCTTGGGAACCTCGGAAGCGGAAAAACCCTGGTCCCGGTGCGGGACATACGACGGGCAGATCGAGACTGCCTGTCACCTAGCTAAACTACCATCTATCATCTATATACAGGTAGCCTCCCGCGCGGGGGGCTGCTTAAGAGGGTGTAGTAGTAGTAGTAGTAGTAATATTTAACGTCAGTGTGGGACACGCGTTAGTCACGTGCCCGCGGAGATCCCGGAACGGAATATACGACGGGCAGAGCGGAACTGCCTATCTAGTAGCTAAGCTAATTCTATCATACACATTAGCGACACTCCCGCGCGGGAGCTCACATGGAAATTGGGCCGCAGGAGCGGAAATACATGGTTGATGGGAGGTGGGAAGGAGGAGGAGGGGGGAGAGGATGTGTGAGAAAGGGATTTTGTTTAGTGTGCGGGGCAGATTTTGAGGTAGAAGTGAGAATTCTGAACCCATTCATGAAAGTCCTCTATCCCTGACTTGGATCGCAGGATCTCGTCAACCTGTCTCTGCCCCCATGGGTGAGGGGATGCCTTGTGGCCTTTTCGGCAGTAATAGAAGTGGTGGGGGGACTTTGGGCCTCCGCAAGAGCATTCCATTTTTGCATCTTCATGTCCAAATCGCTCATGATATTGGGCAAAGTCTCCGTGGCCTGTCCGGGCAGCAAGGAGTCGGCCAAGGGTGGCTCTGGGAAGGGATAGTTCATGAGGTCGTTTATCCAGGCCTATGGAGAGGTCTTGATATCGCTGTGGTGCGTTCTCAGCCCAAAAGGATTGAAATCGTTGCCAGAATTCCTCCTTCAAAGTCCGGTGAGCCCAAGCGTGTCTCACAGGAGGGGCATTGGTCTGTGGGGCAGACCTGGCTCCTCTTTTTGCTTGTTCATCTGCCCGCTCATTCCCTGCGATACCAGTATGCCCAGGGATCCAGTGGATGTGGACTTGCCCGGGTGGGATAGCTTGGCATCGGGAGGGCCGGTTGGGCCAGGAATTCATGGCTTCTTGAGTGGCCTGGATGGTCTGTTGGCTAGAGCCTCTAGGGTGGCCCTGTAGCTGTCGAGCTACTTCCTGGTTGTCAAGGAGGAGGTATAGGTTCTGAGTAAAGGGGGCCTGGGTGCTGTTGATGGCTGCTTTTAGTCCTTCATGTGCTGCTGTGGCCTCTGCATCAAAGACTTCATGATGTGGGAGGGAGAGATGGCCGCGAGCAGATTCCTGCTTCCAAGCACCCCAGTATCCATACCATCCAGCGCCAGCCACTTTGTCTGAGGCATTCAGGCGGCTGCCATCTGTGAAGAGGAACATGGAGAGTGGAGGGCATAGGTCTGCCCAGTGTTGAAAGTCTGCACTTGCCCTGTCTCGGGTGCGGCAGATATTTTGGGCAGTGTTGGGGTTATCAGCCTGCCAGGGGGGATAGACCAGAGGGTCTGTCTGTTCTATTCCTCCCAGCCATGGTGGGTGATTGTGTATTAGGCGTGTATTGGAGGGGACGGATCGTACTCGGTGTACGCGTCTGAAAACTGGGTGGCGATTGTCCAATCTGGATGCGCGCAGCCTGGCAGCAGCGCGTTTCTGATCAAGGATGATCTCCATAGGGGGTATGGCAGTTTCCCGATGGAGGACTACGATAGGGGTGGTCCGGTATACTGGGAGGGTGCCCCGGAGTGCTTCCCTGAGCACCCGGTCTAGCCAGGAAAGGGCAGAGTCGACTCGGTTGGATATATATGTCTGGTTCCGGGGTCTGCGTCGACCTGGCCACCAGGCCTCGGCCCCATAGCAGAGAACTGAGATAACACAGGCCACTGTGGCATGTCGGAGTAGGGAGGCTCTGGCTCCTCTTGTTGTGTTGGCTAGTGATTTGATCCCAGCTGCTGTTTGCTTGGCCTTTGCTGCAAGTGTCCTGCAGTGATTGCCAAAGCTCATCCGTCGATCAAACCAGATGCCCAACCAGCGTGTTGCCCCGCCGGGAGGGGGAGGGTTGATTGTTTGAATGCCCTGAGGGGTGTGTACAGAGCATGAGGGGTTAGAGTGGTTGGTTCCTCGTGAGAAGTGTTGTAGTTCAGTCTTGTTGAAGTCAAAGGTGAGTCCTTCTCTGGCCCCCCATTTACAGGTCGGGTGGCATCGTTCTAGAGGTGCGGTGCCGCGCTAGTGAGTCACATGACTCATTTAGCGGCTTCCGGTCCTTACAATACCAGGTTTTAATTACCCGGCATCTGAGTTTTACAGATTCTTGACCATTGGATTTAGAGACTAATCATTAGTTATCCATTTGCCGTAGTTTTGCTCGCCGTTCCATGAGTTCCAACTCTTTTTCTTCATTTAGAAGTTGTTTTGCCTGGTTTTGGAGCTGTTTCTCTCGTATTTCTTCTTCTTTATCCTTCAATTGAAGCTCAAGTTCACGGATCTCTAAAGCTTGCCGTTGTTGCTCAGTATTTAATATATTCTGTGAGGGGATCCGACGAAGGCTTTGTGAAGTGGATGAGGCGGAACTGGCAACGCTATGAGGAAGACCCGGGTCAAGGTTTCGGTGCGTTTCTTGAGTGGTGTGTTAGTGTTGTAGGTGCAAGAGGTGAAAGTGCAGAGGGTCATTTTCGTCATGCAGGCCTAGAAATTGAAGTATTATAGTTAATTCTTGCTATCTCTCATTATACGTGATGCTGAATCCTGGTTATTGTTCACGTTAGATGGAAATGCTTTGAAAGGTGCAAGCAAATTGTGTGCCGGATATTTACTGACTGGTCATTGAAATGAAGTGGATATAACTAAATAAATAAATAAATTTATACGCCCGGTCACCTTGAGGTATGGGGTGCTGCACGCTATCTAACCAATGGGGAAAAACCCAGCGTGGGCGAGTCCCATGCTGCGCACCATCGTCAACTACGATCGCATATGCGTAATGGATCAGGGCCGGATCGCGGAGATGGATACGCCCTTGAACCTTTGGGACAAGGCAGATGGTATATTCCGAGGGATGTGTGATAAGAGTGGGATTACACGGCAGGATATCAAGAAATAAGTTCTTGTGTGGGATTGGATTTTACTAACTTGTGACTATATTCCTCTCCTTAATAACTTAATAGGTTGCGTTGTATTCTGGCTGTTGCCCTGTTTCTTCCAGTTGCACGTGCTGCTGTTGAATATATGAATATACTACCACAGAGGACTATAGTATTAGTCCGTGTATATGTATTATGACCGATGTCATATCATGTCTCATGTATCAGTAAACTTACTCTACCCATGTCAGAAATACAGAATAAACAGTAGAATGCTGCAAATAATCCACACGCCGCATTCATGCTCCGAAACATTGCCGGATCAGGTAATCTTGAAACTTCACAAGCATCTGATGAGAATCAATATGACAGATTAGGAAACGGTTACTGTAATCAAGTAAGAACATAAGCAAAGATGAGAACAATAATTGATTTCCGAGCTCGTGCGAGAATACCTTCAAATAAATAAAGCCCATGCCCCCGTGCTCTGCGAGGCTGAAAGAGCTGAAAGTCTTCCATTGCCGGACCCCTGTCTAGTGTGGAGATCATGCAACTTGCGAACAGGTTTGCTTCTGCTCACCTTATAATAGGAACTCAGAAGAGTCGAGCAGCCCCTTCCCCCTCTCTAGAGGCCACATCATCAATCACAACACGCATCTCTCTGATGGTGAGGTGATGAGCAAGAGCAAGATGGAGGATGATGGATTAGACTGTCTGGAACCAAGACCCACCCGGCCCGGCCCGGGGTTTGGGTAGCCAATCATAGTGAAACGATTTTGGGGTTTCCGTAGCCTAGAGTACTCAATATACTGGGTTAAAAAGGGATTGGAGTGTATCTGAGATGGGAACACGCTTTCAGGAACTAATCGGGGTTGGTTAGCCCGTGAAACATGGTCTGTCATAGCTTTAGGGCTCGGTATGGACAATAAACTTGATTAAATAATAATAATAATGATAATGATAGCACCAAAATATTATCGCTCAGAGAATAAAAGGGGACTCCTATCCTCTCCTTCTACAACAATCCTAATTTTCTTTGACATAGAGTGTATCTTGCCTAAATGCCGAAGGTTGGAAATCTCATGTTCTCGATCAACCTCCAACTGTCCCATGAGGAGTGGAAAGATGGATGATTTCCATAGCACGGGTTGACCAAGGCTAACAATTGCTGTGGCCATGAAGAGACAAATGGACAAGATGACGGTTACTATGGGAAGAATAGTCCACGGCCAACGGACATGGATGAATGTCTCAGTTCGGTAAGCTCTTCCGTAGACTTTAGTGAGTCCAGTGCCTGAGCGAATATTGTCGGTCATACTAGTGGCCATTCTGCTGAATGATTCAGTGATGTTATCACTATAGTTGAGAATTGGGACTAAGAGAAGACCAGACGTGGCTTTGCCATTAAAGCGACTAAGAACGGCATCGAAAAGCATTCTAAGATGCATCTGAAGTTGTAAATGGGCAATACGAGAAATATGGTAGGTCGAGTTGCTTGACAAGGCCTTCGCCCCATCCACAGGTATGAGAGTTCTCGCTGCGGTGTCCCTATGGTAATTGCTGATTCGTAGAGATTGGCTTCTTGATGGTTGAACGTTGCGTTTGTTTGTGGAAACATGGTTCTGCGTATACTGTTTTTCACACAGCTGAACTGAGCATTGCGTCATCTGAGGCTTTGGCTCACTCACACTGATGTTCTCAGTAGTATACTTAATGGTATCAGGATTGTACTTTGCCATGAAGACAGAGATAATCTGGGCAAGTTCCGATTCGGGAACATCTGGCTCGCGAACGATAGCTCTAAAGCCACTACGAAATATCTCAATAGTGTCATTGGAATTCGATGCCTTAGGGGCCCCTGGGACAAATGTAAACCCATTCGGGGCTGAGTAGTTGCAGTCAATAGGGATCGATGCGGCCATTCTGCGGAGTGATGGAGTACTGGGACGAGAAAGGATATCATGCCAATACTTCCATTTAAGAGTGGAGTTCTGTCCATCATATGGTCTTGAAATTGGCCGGCAGTCCTGTGTTGCTGCTTCTGTAACATCTTCACAAGACGTACAAATTCCAAGCGTGGTGAAGTCAGGATAATGGCAGGATTCTGAGGGACACTTTGCGTCGAGTGGGATGTTTATTTGTGCCAACCCATTGAATACGGCAGGCTGCATTGTATGATCCATTTGGAATGTGCTCGTGTCCCATTTGGAAGAATAGTCCTGTGCTTTCTGGACATATGCAGTCTCATTTAGCGCTTGTACTTGTCGTGATGGGAACGCTAAGATCTGCTGTGCAAAAGGATCGATGGCAACAGCAGTGGCCATCAGCGCTGCTCCAGCCAATGCTAGAAACGACCTGACTCTCCAGAATATTTCCAGGGATCCCCAAGGACCACGGCTGGCTTGGTCAAGAAGATGGAAATGATAGAGTTGCGTTGGTTTTGGATGGCGGCCGTGTCCCCACTTCAACTGGCCGAGACAGGCCGAAACTGGAATAAGCATCGCTGCCTTTATGAAAGCCGCAAGGACGGAAATCACTGCATTAGGTGAGATAGAATATTGCCAGCTGATATAGGCTTTCCCATTCACGTATCCTAGAAAACCTATTAAGAGAGCAAGACAGGTGACACTGAGAATGGCACCCCCAACCTCCCAGGTCCAGGAACCTTCCCAGTCGTAATTGTTGAGTGCCTCCTTTACGCGTGAAAGCTTTGTCTCTTGCGACTTAAATACTTCCTCGCTTGGTTGAGGAGCGGCTTGGGATTCGCTTTTTCTGCCATGATCAATAGATCGGCTGAGGTTTTCGGAATTATTTGAGTTTTCTGACGCCTCTGTCGATGACGGAGCCCCAGTAAGCGATGAATACGTATCCATTTTCGGCGGCTGCGAGAGCTGCGGGCTATGGTTGACCTCGGAGCCCTGCGAATTGTCGAGTGCTGAATATTGATTCATTGTCGTCACTGAGTTATTTCTTTCGAGATTGTGATAGTTGGAATGAACTGGTAAGATCCCTTTCCAGTAATGGAACAATCAACATCAGCATATAGGCAATGGATATATGGCCCTGAAATAAGAGACTGACCAGCGCACAAGCCCACAAAAAGAGAGAGAGAGAGAAAAACAGGAGAAAATAGGAAATGAGCATGAAAAACACCCCGCAGCGCCCTGAAGAGGCTGGAATCTGCAGACAAGGCTGTGCAAGGCTACAAACAAGAGCATCGATTGGTGTGAGCGGGAAGGAGTACTGTAGATCTGTAGGAGATGCTAATTCCTACCATTTTTATACGACGCCCAATGTAATTGACGAACGAAAATAGTAAAATAATGTACAAGGGAATAGAGTTGCATTCGGGTCGGGTAGGGTAGGGAAATGGGCACCTTATGTCACAGGCTGCGCCTGTCGCATAAGCGATATGTCTAGTCAAGCGGAGAGGCTATCAGACGGAGAGGTTATCGGAGGAACTATTTACCCGCACTGTGCACACATGTATTTAGAGCCGCTCGATCGGGCATCCGTCCGATATCTCTTCAACGAAATCTTTTGTGCCAAAGCTAGTCATTAGCATTTCCGGGCCTAGCCCTTAACACACAGGCCTTAGTTAGACAGAACCAAGGCTCTGAGACAGTGTACTCAGACTTGTCCAAAGCTATGTCTTCATTTCTCCAATGCATGCAAAACAAGGATCTGGAGACACAAAGGACTATAGATTGACTGCAGACTAGTCATAGTGAGACACTGAGTGATTCAGACTGGAGGATAGATCAAGCCAGACTCCTCCAGTGGAGAGAACACATTTATGTCCTGAGGATCAGGTCTCTTATACATGAGATTATCAAAATCCATTATGATGACCCTACTGAGTGAGCATAGAGGCCTTCAGCCCCTGAGCCCAGGTTTCCTCAACATCATAAACCAGTGGCCCAGTGCCGCAGTTAGGTCTGTGGCGGAGCGGAGTGGGAGGGCACCAAACTGTTGTGGATGAAGGACCTTATGCTTGATGGCTACCCATGCCATCTGACGGGCTATGAGGCGCTCTAGGCCCTTTACAAAAACTGATAGGAGGGAAATCAACCTGTAGGTCCTGGGAGAGCTTCAGTACCTTTTCCCGGGCTTTGGGATGGCTAGCTACAAGCGAGGCGTCTCGGAATGGGGTAGGATGCCAGCCTTGGGCTGCGCAGAGTCGGTACAGTGATGAGATGGCAGGACCTACCGACCTAGGACAGGCCATGCCTTCCTGAGGATAAGGGTGGAAACGCTATTTTTTCCTGGGGTGCTGTTCTTGGGCCTAGCTACCGCAATCTATATATCTCTCTCAGTGATGTCAGGGAAGGGCAAATAGGGATTGCTGGTAGGCTCTGTATTGGGGTCCACATCCTCTGAGCAAGCGGCCTTCTGCAGGAGCGTACGCACTAGGTAATTTGCCTTATCATCAGTAGAGACATGGAGGTGCTCTCCATCTCTCAGGGGGGAGATAGGTAGGGAGCCTTCAGTGCGATTCCACTTTACTGCATTGAAGACATCTTTCAGTTCCTTGAATTCATCAATCTTAGAGCGCCAGAAATGACATTTGCTGCATCAGACCATACAGCGGAAGGTCTGTTTGGCTTCCACTATGTCCTCTGATGTGGATGTTGGATTTCATACAACCCTGCAGAGGGTTCTGACTACTATAGAGCAGTCCTGGTTTACCACTTGTGGCCATGGGGCAGAGGATATGCCCTTTTGGTGGATGCTTCCAGAGCAGTGGAAATTGCCTGAGTGGTATTGACTGCAAGTTCATCCAGTTGGGCAGGAGAAGGGTGGGAAGGAAGGGAAGAGACCACATCATTCAAGTATACTCTCTCTCCTTGGATCACTTCTTGGAAAGGCTCCTCGTTGAGGGTAGACCAGTGGAAGGGTGGTTTGATGTCTCCAGGGTAGAGTGTCACTCGGGGCGGGGTGGGGCGGGCTTTGGCAGGCGATGCCCCGCCCCAGCGGGCTTTGGGGCGGGGTGAGCCATAACCCTTCCCGCCCCAAGGCCCCGGTGGGTTGGGGCGGGTTTTGGCCCAAACCCCCGAGACTCTCCAAACTATACCCAATCAGTCGATCGGATATCGCACTATTCCAACCATGGTTAGTTTGGGGCAGCTAACGGGGCGGGTTTCCCAGCCCACCCCGAATTCTCAGTAATTTTTGTATTCAGAACATGATTACTCGATAGTTTATGCAGCCATGTATAATTACAGCCAGATTACCATATTGAAATACATCCTCGTGCGAAGGTCTAAGTTGTTTATCATTGCAACGGTCGCAATATACCACAAATATCATGGATAAATCACTTTGAAATCATATAGACCCTCATATCGGTCCATAAGTAATAGCAACTTGGAAGCATTACAAGCCTGAGCAGATATT